TAAACTTGGCACGGTCACCTTTCAATGCAAGCTTGAATCAAATTAATTCCCTGTCTCTAGCTGGAACGCAGAGGCACATCTTAACAGCAGCGGATCCCACTGTCCTCTGCTGAGCTGGTCTTTTGCAGACATCAGCTCCACACAGATCCCTGGGGCTTAGCAGCCGGGCCAGACTGCAACTGACTTCTCCATTCCTCTCCCATGGCAAGTAGGCGGATTCAGCTAAGCAAATCTCCCAGCAGACTTCAAAGGACATGTACGTATTTGCTGTCTGCAGGGGAGTCATGGCACTGTTTCCCTTTTGATCTGACTCATCATCAAAGGAAAGTGGCTGGTGACAGCCGACCTGCGAAGGTATGACTGGGAGCGCTTGCTAGAGATGCTCCCTTAGTCTCTCCCACACAGTGCATGCTGGGAAAATCCCTGCCGCTCCTTGAGTGCTGTGTTTTCCTGGAATGCATGCTGGAAAACTCCGTACCAGTCCTCAAGTATTGTTATTCCCTGCAATGCATGGTGGGAAGCTGCCTTCTGTGCCTCAAGTAACTTTGTTGTTTAGTCATTTAGTCGTGTCTGACTCTTCGTGACCCCCTGGACCAGAGCACGCCAGGGAACTGTCTTCCACTGTCTCCCACAGTTTGGTCAAACTCATGCTGGTAGCTTTGAGAACACTGTCCAACCATCTCGTCCTCTGTCATCCCTTCTCCTTGTGCCCTCCATCTTTCCCAACATCAGGGTCTTTTCCAGGGAGTCTTCTCTTCTCATGAGGTGGCCAAAGTATTGGAGCCTCAGCTTCAGGATCTGTCCTTCCAGTGAGCACTCAGGGCTGATTTCCTTCAGAATGGAGAGGTTTGATCTTCTTGCAGTCCATGGGACTCTCAAGAGTCTCCTCCAACACCATAATTCAAAAGCATCAATTCTTCGGCGATCAGCCTTCTTTATGGTCCAGCTCTCACTTCCCTCAAGTAAATAATACGGTAATAAAATCTGCCGTCAAGCAGCTCCCTTTTTAAAATAAAAATAATAATTTTTATTAGGTTTTTCATTTTATACTTTGTCACATATCAATGAAATCAAAACATCTTTGCTCATCCGGAGCCTCAACTTCCTCCCCTCCCACTCCCTGGCTTTCTTAGGTATACACTTTCATCTTAGCATTCCTATCTCACCCGATTTACCTTCTTTTTATCCTTAAAGAAATTTACTTCCGTGTTTGTAAACCGGTTCCACATATCAACATTACAAAATATTTTAAGTAAAACCTGCAAACGTTTTCAAATGTTTACAATGTTCTTTCATATATTGTATAAATTTACTCCAGTCCTTTTCAAACAGCTTGTCACGCTGGTTCCGGATGATAGCCAGCAGCAAAGTTCTTCTTATGTTCTTACCTTCCCGTTCTCGCTGGGGCTGAGCATTGGAGTCAAACAACAATATTCAGAGGCCTGTTGTCTATGGCCTGGAAGAGTCAATTGTGTCATTCAATCTCTGTTCTCCCTTCCTCCTATTTAAGAAAGGTAATCTTCCACCCTTGTCTCAAACACTGAACATTAATCAAAGTGGCACCTCTTCTTTTATTCTAAATGTGTCGTTTTCCTTCCCTACAGGATGGCACTGCAATAAAATGTTGCAGCACGGAGCGCTCCTGTTCAGTGCTCCAGCCAGCCAGCCATGCCTTCTTTCAAAGTTCTCCATTTGATTCCCTCCTTCCTCCTGGTTTTATTGCTTTTACCCCACCTTTCCTCTATGACGCTTCAGGTGACATACACCCACACCCACACCCACACCCCGCTTTCCATTTTACCCCCACAAAAACTCCATGAGGTAGGCTGGGCTGAGAGAGCTAGGATTGGGCCAAAGGCTGCCCAATAAGCTTAATGACCGAGTGGGGATTTGAATCTTGGTCTCTCAGGTCGTGCTCTAACCACTACACAGCACAGGCTTCTCTCCCACAACAGACAGCATACACCATCCCCATCGGGCTATTTTAATGGGGAGGGACAGTTTTCCCTTAATTTTCCCACCCCAAAATATTGCTTCTGCCTCTGCAAACCAAGCATACGGATCTATCATTTCTCTTTAACCCTGCTTCGGTTTTCATAACCATCAGCACTTATGTTTGATATTAGCATCTATGATTTTATTTTATTTTGGCCAGGAGGGCATTGGTGGTGGGCATAAGAATTTCAAGATCTGTTGACTCACTTGTGGGTCACGACCTCAGCTTGCGATGCACCAGCATCACACACACACACACACACACACACACACAACCCCCATGCAAAAGAGGGCCATGCTATCAAAGGCCCTAATGCCAACGGTGCCAGCAGAATTGGTAACCTCAGCATGACCTGGCTACATCTGCCCCTCCAATCTCACCTGCCCTCCTCCAGAGCAAACACCGCCACTGTTGGCAAAGAGGATTTGCCTGTCTGAACAGGTGTGGGCCGGGCCTCACTTTCTTCAGGAGGGTGACCGAGAGGTCAGCTCTTTTCCCACCAAATTTCTTAATGCCCCTACTGAGAGATCTGCTGTCGCGCACCTCTGCGTCACAGCTGAGCTTTTCAAGGCAACAGCGATGGTTTCTTCCCGATAACCACCTGATTGAGGTCTCTATACAGTGGTACCTCGGGTTAAGTACTTAATTCATTCCAGAGGTCCCTTCTTAACCTGAAACTGTTCTTAACCTGAAGCACCACTTTAGCTAATGGGGCCTCCTGCTGCCGCCGCAAAGTTCTTAACCCGAGGTACTATTTCTGGGTTAGCGGAGTCTGTAACCTGAAGAGTATGTAACCTGAAGCGTATGTAACCCGAGGCACCACTGTATTGGCTTTTAGGTCTAGGTCTGGGCTTGTTTTTCCACAGGGCGGTCGCAGAAGCTGGAACGGAAGGTGGTGGACTCTCTCCCTCACTGGAAATTTTTAAGCAGAGATTGGATGGCCATATGACATGACTTCTTTAGCTGTGACCTCTGCAATTCTTTAAGTTCCTAAATGGATATGCTGAATGTTATGAGAATTATAAGGTCTAAGATATAAAATAAATAACAGGTTTCCTGCCGGACAAGATTCTGCTGTAGACCACCTCTTCTGTGACGTATGTGTGATGTATTGGGGGGTGATCTTCAGCTACAGGGTGTCAATTTTAAAAGTCTTTTTAAGGGCTTGCACACGATGGCTCTGGGTTCCTCCTCCCTCCTGCAAGAGGGGGGTGAGCTCCCTGTTGCAACAGTTTAATAAAGATCAGGTTTACCAGCTGCTTTGCTTCTCAATATTCTCTGGTTGACCTCTGTTATTTTCTCCTACCAACAGAGAACCTACATAAGGACTCTATACGGGCTCTTGGGTACGCCATAAGGGAAAAGCTAATGGGGCCTCCCGCTGCCGCCGCGCCTCCAGAGCACAATTTCTGTTCTCATCCTGAAGCAAAGTTTTTAACCTGAAGAACTATTTCTGGGTTAGTGGAGTCTGTAACCTGAAGCGTATGTAACCCGAGGCATATGTAACCCGAGGTACCACTGTGCAAAAAGAAAGAGAGAGTGTCAATCAGAACTGAATTGGGACAGGGCAAGGGTTTAAAACTCAGTGGTTTGAGTCTGGTTATTAAATGATGAATGTGTCTATGACAGCTGCCAAGTTGCACCCCCCCCCCAATTAAACAGGTTGTGCTCCTATGCTTTAATACCAGCTTGAGCTGCAGACATGAGCAACAGATAAGAAGAACATAAGAGAAGCCTGCAGGATCAGGCCCATGGCCCATCTAGTCCAGCATCCTGTTCTCACAGTGGCCAACCAGATGCCTGTGGTTTCCTGCAACTGGGATTCAGAAACACTGCTGCCTCCAGATGTGCTGGGGGGGAACCCACACTTCCTGATGACTTCACATCAACTGGCTGTGGAAAGAGGCACAAGAGCAGGTTGCAACAGGTGTCTCAGGTCAGTTGGCAACCTACCTTATGCACTACGAACTCTCGTTGGTTTTAACTGTCACGGCTCTATGTCCGCTGCGAAGGATCCCGAGGGATGCAGCTTGCTGTGGGTGATAAGGGTCAAAATGTTGTTAATAGGGAATGTGTGGACTGTGACCAAATAGAGCCAGTGTGGAGCCAGATCAGGTCCAATGAGATCCAGGTTCAAATGTATACACAGCCATCAAGCTGTGGGCCCATCGCTATCTCTCAGAATAGCGTCCCTCTTGGGGATTGTTGTGAAGATCAAATGAAGGTTGTGTTCTTGAGCTGCTTGAGAGAAAGGAAGGCTGGAAATGTAATAAAATTCAAGTAACTATCTTCCTGTTGCCTATAGTAAATCTAATCTCTCATTTTTTTTCTGGCTCCCTCCCCTCTCCAGTCATCAGGAGCCCCCTTTTTCTATACACATGACTAGGGATGGGAAAGGAAATTTGATTTTGTTTGCATTTTCATGAGAAATGGCCAAATCCACACTTTTCAAACCATCGGTTGAGGTGAAACACATCCATCTTTCAATATACACACTACTCTAGATTTTGTGATGCAGTTCCCTGTCCGACAATGTGTACAAAAATGACTGTATTAGGGCAGGAGGGGCTAAATTTGGCCCTCCAGGCCTCTGAATCCAGCCCTTGGGATCCTACCCAGGCCACGCCCTGCTCTGCACCGCCCCCTACTGGCTTGAAAGTGTCATTGAACTAACTAGGATTATACCTCTTGGTTGACTGGATTGAGAGGGGTGCACGTTAGGCCACACACCCTTTTGTCGCACACACACACACCACTGGTATGTGGCCCTCAGAAGGTTCCCAAGTGGGAATTTGGCCCTCAGGCTGAAAAAAATGTTTCCTTATCCTTGCATTAGGGAAAGGTGTGCATATAAATGCATATTTGTGCAAACAACGTGCAGAAATGCATTATATCAGGAGGAAGTGATTGCGGGAATAGGCAAAGTTGCATACAAAATATGTTTTTATTTGGAGAAATTAGCACAAAAATACTGATGAATTTTCATGAAGATTTTTTTTTTTTTAATGCAAATTGCTGCAGGAGGTGTGGGGAACGGGATTTCAGATTGGAAGACTGAGAAAGCGGGAGGAACTGAAATTGACAGGTATGTCTGTCCCTAATCATGATGGTAAACGCTGCAGTTTGCAGAAAGAGCAGTTCCAGTTTTGAGCTGCAGCTATGGCGTATTTATTGCAGCATGGCAGTTTGGCCCTGGGGTTTCTCAGCTGCTCACCTTTGGCCCTTGTTCTGCCTCTGGGAGGGCAGATGCCACTTACAGTCAAGGAAACAGGAGGTGATGTCGGAAGACTGACATGCTAGAGGGAATCACTGCTGACAAGGCATGCACTTCAGGGTGTCTGGACGATCCCGGGCTATAACTGCCTCCAGACATAGCAAGGATAGTCATTCTCAAGGCTTGCAGGACCATGGACAGGTCACTGAGAGCTAGCACCTTGCTGCAACAGAGGTGTCTTCCAGACAATCTGTTTATTGAGCATCCCTCCCGACTTGCTTGCAGGAAGACTGGGCAGCACCAGCTATTTATTGAGTTGTCTACAACTACACAGTGCATTCACCTTCACTTTCCTAACTGCAAAAAGCCCAGTGGTTGGTGTTTTTTTTGGAGGGGTGGAAGTGAGCTAGGTGTACAGGAGCAACAAATCAGCTTTGTGTACAACCTGAATTTGCTGCTACCTGAACAGAAGCTCCCAGAGACCCAACTGCAGGCATAAACTTTACTTCTCTCTAGGCCCAGACGACTCTTCTCAGACTCTGCCCCACTGTTTGAGAATTGAAGCTCCTTTCAGGGGCAACCCACAAGCCCCACTGCTAAGTGCTCTAACGCCTCCCTGTGACAAATCCTTTTATGTGATCCGGTGGGGACTGATGTCCATTGAGACTGTAAGAAGGCAGGCAGATGTTCACTGGCTGAAGAAGGCAGGTGGAGATTGGTGGGGCAGTGCCCCATTTGCCCTCATGGAGCTGCCACCACTGAGTTGTGATCTCTGCTCCTGTGTGAAGGTACCGGAGAGTGAATGGCAGTTGGTGGGAAGAGGCTCAGTCCTTTTGGGATGAGGACCTTCCTTGGGAGTCTCCAGGTACCAGGCTTGCAATGAACAACAAGAATTGAGTCTCGCATCACTGCTGATAATGGGGGTCTAAACTTCTTCCTCAAAGTCCTGGTACAAGGATAGCCTAGTTCTGGCCTAAGAGACAACTATGGCCCCAGCCTCTCCCCTATCAGGCCCTCAGGACCTTCCCAGGCCACACCCCTCGCCAACCCTGCTTTGCAGCCTCCTTAAATTTTTGTGCCAGTTGATTTGTGCCCTCAGATCATGCCTCTTGCTTGTCTGGATAGAGAGGCAATGTTTGGGGTGTGTGTGTGTAGAAACAAGCCTATTTTACAAAGGCAAAATTCACATTTAATATTGTGCTTATGTTTTGCCTCTGGCTTTCCCAACCACTGGCATGTGGGCCCCAAAACATTGGCCAGAAGGGAATGTGGCCCTGCCTTGCAGAGACAAAGCAACCATTCAGAACCATTTGTCTATGGGGTTGATACACCCAAGCCTGAGACATGCAGTTCAGGCCCTTTCGTGGCAGTGGCCTGGATTACGAAGGTGGGAGAGGGTCTCTTCCATTTGTGATCTCCCTGTTGAATTGCTGCTTTTAGAAGGCTGCAGTGAAGCAGAGTTTGGCTTAAATGAGGTGGAGAATGGCTGGCAGATTTTGTTAGGCACCCTCTACCTCAAGACCAGGTGCCAAATGCAGTCTTCCAGCCATCTCTTGTCCAGTCTTCAAGACTTTGCCCAGGCCATACGCCTCACTGACCCTTCCTGCATGAATTTGCATTTGGCCAGAAGGTGTCCTTGAACTGAGATGGTATTTCTTGCTTGCCTGGATGGAGAATGCTGTATGTGTTCTGGGCACACTCACCCTTGGTAGGTGGCCCTTGCAATGTTGCCCAGGTCGAATGTGGATGTCAGGGGCTGGAGGAATGGTGGGAGCCCCCCCTTCTCCTGAACCTTCCCAAGGGCAGGAGGACAGTATTGATTTAGAACAGTGGCTTGCAGAGGGGCATAGTCCTTGCAGAGGGGGGAAGCTGGGAAATACTGGGTGAGGAACAGCTAGAAGAGGGAACACCAGGAGAGGGACAGCTGGCAGATTCAGTGTCCTTGGACATCATTCCTGACTCCCCTTCACCTAGGACTAGACGGGCTCTGAGAGTGATAGAACAGAAAGCGCAGAGGCAACAAGATCAGATTACCAAACGTAGGAGTGACATAGATTAATGGGGGCGGAGGGGGTGAACCTTAACTAGGACCCACACCATTTTTAGAGAGATATGCATTCATTTGTCTCTCGCTGTGATTGTTAAAGAAACTATCTGGCAAGAATGCTCCCTTTTGTTTGATCTGTTTAATTACTGCCACAGGGGGAGGAATCTGATTCCCCGAAGCCTGACAGTGGCCAATAATCCAAGTGTTACTTTCAGTCTTCAGTTCTGACATCGCTTGGACCATAATCCTTTCTATCTCTCCACCCGAAACACACCATAGGGAATGCTGGTAAATGATCGCATTTGGCTAGGAATATGGGAGACAAGACAACTACCCACGAGGGAGGTGTTCTACCTGCAGTCAGAGGCAATATGCTGTGGGAAAAGTGGGATACTGGCCTGATCCAGCAAGCTCTTATGTTCTCAGGTTATTCTCTCCTTCCCTCTTGTGTGTATTAAAAAAAACTCTAAACAAACAAAAACCCCTGGGATTACTGCAAACTTAACTTCTGCCCTTCCCAAAAAGAGAGAGAAATAATAAAGAGACCTTGTGGTTCTATGTACAAGTAGGGAACATTGCACTTAATTTCTTTTACATCCATTGGACAACATTAACTTTCTTTAATATATAAATCTCTCTGGATAGGCTGTGGGGGGGAAGGAAAGGGAGGAGCCAGGAAATCACTGCGTTTCTCTATATACAGTTCCATTGGCTCAGTTCGACAGCACAGGCAGCTCATCCTCCACAACCTGAAGTAACAGCCCCAATTTTACTCTCTGGTCCATTTTGGTAGAGGAATGTAACTCTTTATAAATATGATTGATCTTCAGCTTTTGCACTCTCTCCAAACTCCTCCTCAGTCCAATATCCATTTTGTTCTCACTTCTCTCGCAAAGAAATGCCCCCAGGGAAGGAAAAATACTTTCAAAATCCTTAAAAGACAGTAAGTCTTGGAAAATACTGTGGGCTGGGGGTGTGTGGTGAGACAGAGACCCACAGGGATGTCATCTTTGCACCAGTTGCAAAAGTCACCGAAATGTTTTGTCTTTGAAACTTCCAGCCCTCTCGCCAGGTTTGGTGGGCTCTCTTTGGTATGGTGCCAGACCTCTTGATAACCTCCTGGCCCCAGGACTCTGTCGTCAATCGCTGGCAGGATGATGAGGGGAAATAATCTCTGGTTGCTATAGGCAAAGGAAGTGAGGTATGGAGCATCACCAAGCTTGCAGCGGACACTAAAAGGGGCAGGGGTATAAGGAGAGGGAAAGAAGAGGGAGGCAGAGGTTAGAAGTCATATACCAGGAGTGGAGAACTTCAGGCCCAGGGGCTAAATTCCCCAGGCCACCCCCTCACTGGCCAGGCTTCAAGCCGTCCTTGAGTGTTCTTCCCAGGCTGGAATGTGTCATTGAACTCTGATTATGTCTCTTGCTTGTTGAGATGGGAGGACAGAGAAGGGTGTGTGTGTGTGTATCAGCTAGCCTACTGCACAATGGTAATGTTTACATTCATTGCTGTGCCCACTTTTGCCTAGTCCATCACTGGCATGTGGCCCCCAGGAGGTTGCTCAGAAAGGAATGTGGCCCCTCAGGGTCAAAAGGGTTTCCCACACCTGCCATGTACAAAAACCATTAGGTCCCGTCGTGACCGACTCTGGGGTTGCAGCGCTCATCTTACTTTATTGACCGAGGGAGCCGGCGTACAGCTTCCGGGTCATGTGGCCAGCATGACTAAGCCGCTTCTGGCGAACCAGAGCAGCACACGGAAACACCGTTTACCTTCCCGCCAGAGCGGTACCTATTTATCTACTTGCACTTTGACGTGCTTTCGAACTGCTAGGTTGGCAGGAGCTGGGATCGAGCAACGGGAGCTCACCCCGTCGCGGGGATTTGAACCGCCGACCTTCTGATTGGCAAGTCCTAGGCTCTGTGGTTTAACCCACAGCGCCATCCGCGTCCCTTCTTTTACACTGTAGGATGGTGTTTTGATCTTACATTTTTATGCTGTAAACCGCCATGAGATCTACACATGAAGGGCGGTATACAATTATTGTTGTTGTTATTGTTGTTTGTTATGGTGTGTGTGTGGATGGGACCAGTGTGAAAGGTTCCAGACATTTACAGATCGGTTCAGCTGGTTAGGTTAAAGTACAGAGACAGGGCGGGGCTTCAGTAGCACCTTGGACAGCTCCCTGCAGAGCTCAGCCTAGTTGCTCCATAAGAGCAGCACTCAAATGTTGCTTCAGCACCAGCCACCCTCAGACTGAGCCTGAAATAGGAGCTCCATCTCCATCTCAGTAGCTAGCTGAGATGAGCCTCTTCGTTTAAAGGGGCCCACCCTGCTACAGCACTTGCTGGCTCTGACAGAGCAGGGGAGAATGCAGTTGCACTAGGACATGGTGGTAGCCAACATGGTGCCCTCCAGGTGTTGTTGGGTTTCCAACTACCATCAGCCTCAGCCAGCCTGGCCAATGGTCAAGGATAAAGGGAATTGTAATCCAGCAACCTCTGGAGGGCTATTTCTGCACTAGGGCTTCTGAGCTGGAGTCCTCCCAAGTCAGAGGAAGGCAAAGCAACCTCATTGGACTAGAGAGCTACTTGCACAATGGGCTTCTCTTGTGCAAGTATTTCTGGCTTAGTAGGCACATCTGGGGATGGCACCAAGGACCATTCCACTCTGAACCCCCCTGACCTCATCCCCGATTCCTCAGTGTCTGGTAAATAGGCAGCAGGCTGCATCAGTTCAAGTTTTTTTGTTTTGTTTTTTAAAGGGCTTTTTTAAAGGATTTAAAAAAATCATCTTCTGTGGCTGTTATTTGAAGGTTTGATTGCACTTTCTACTGCTGGGGTCTTTGCTGCTTTGCTGCTGACTACTGAACTGTATTATGATCTGAAGGTTGGAAGATTCAGGACAGACAAAAGAAGATACTTTTTCACCCAGAGCAAAGTTCAACTATGGGACTCGCTCCCACAGGAGGCAGTGATGGCCGCCAACTTGGATGGCTTTAAAAGAGGCCATCTGGAATAGTTCACTCGGTAGAGCAGGAGACAATTAATCTCAGAGTTGTGGGTTTGAACCCCACCTTGGGCAAAAAACCCCACCCTGCATTGCAGGGGGTTGGACATGGCCCCTTCCACTTTTACAATTCTATGGTTCTATGGCTTTCAATAGCTACTTGCTACAATGGCTATGCTCTACCTCCACTGTCAGAGGCAGCAATGCTTCTGAATGCCAATTGCTAGAAACCACAAAAGGGAAGAGTGCTGTTGAGCTCAGGCCCTGCTTGCTGGTTTCCCCACAAGCATCTGGTTGACCACTGTGAGAACAGGATGCTGGACTAGATGGGCCATTGACTCAATCCAGCAGGCTCTTCTTATTATATTGGATTTATTTAAATTGACTGTTTATACTGTAAATTAGATTGTATGCTCTAATGTTTGTTAACTGCTATTAATGCAAGTCACATTGAGAAGGATACACTCTGAAAGGCAGCTTAAAAATACATATATAGGTATATGTATTCCAGTATCTATCTGTAGAATCATAGAATCATAGAATCATAGAGTTGGAAGAGACCACAAGGGCCATCGAGTCCAACCCCCTGCCGAGCAGGAAACACCATCAGAGCACTCCTGACATATGGTTGTCAAGCCTCTGCTTAAAGACCTCCAAAGAAGGAGACTCCACCACACTCCTTGGCAGCAAATTCCACTGTCGAACAGCTCTTACTGTCAGGAAGTTCTTCCTAATGTTTAGGTGGAATCTTCTTTCTTGTAGTTTGGATCCATTGCTCCGTGTCCGCTTCTCTGGAGCAGCAGAAAACAACCTTTCTCCCTCCTCTATGTGACATCCTTTTATATATTTGAACATGGCTATCATATCACCCCTTAACCTCCTCTTCTCCAGGCTAAACATGCCCAGCTCTCTTAGCCGTTCCTCATAAGGCATCGTTTCCAGGCCTTTGACCATTTTGGTTGCCCTCCTCTGGCCATTGACTCAATCCAGCAGGCTCTTCTTATTATATTGGATTTATTTAAATTGACTGTTTATACTGTAAATTAGATTGTATGCTCTAATGTTTGTTAACTGCTATTAATGCAAGTCACATTGAGAAGGATACACTCTGAAAGGCAGCTTAAAAATACATATATAGGTATATGTATTCCAGTATCTATCTGTACTTGGGTTTGAAATTGTTCTTACATATGAAATTGTTTTTAATATGTTGTTATAATATGGAATTGCTTCTGATTGTTTGTGTATGTGTACGGCAGTCATTTCGACATGTGGAGTTGCTTTAATTGTTTCGACATAATGGTATTTTTTATTGTTGAGGTTTTTGCTGTCAAATTGCTTCAAGGTATTTTTCTTGATAATAATTTTTATTAGTTTTCAATTACAGTCCAATAATAGCCTCATTATAACACGGTATTTTTATGGGAATCAAACAAATAAATTTAATAACAATAATTTTTTTGTATTATTTTATGTAAACAACTTAGTAATTGTTTTTGATTATGCACTGTGTGTGTGTGTGAAAATGGCTGAATATAAATATAAATATGGGGAAACAGCTAATTGCTGCTGATTATCCCAAACAGCTCTCTTCTAACGATAAGCTGAGTTTTCTTTACCACCAGCACCCATGCCCATGTTTGGCTGAGCAAGCAGCATCTTGCTGGGTTTTGATTAAGAGGACGCTTCCTGAATCCAGGAGGGCTTGTTCCAACACGTAAGCATCAAAGTCAACTGGAGGGCAAGATGGAATAATCAATCAAGGACAAAGTTATGGCTGAGTGCCTGGCAGATGAATCGATAGAGCCTTGCTAAGGAAATGGTCTTCTTCCCCCAGTGGTGTGGATGCGCCTGATTGCTTGACTGATGGCGAATGGTGGGCAAGCGGTTTCTCCGGCTCACTACAAAGGGTGGGAACCCAACAGGAGTGGGGGGCCTTGAAAACAACACTTTCGCCTTCCAGTGCAGTGTGGTAAACACTTCTCTGCAGGCCCCATGTGGTTCCAAATCCAGACGGTTGCCACCAACCAATATGGACAACACGCTCATATAAACAAATCAGGCAGGATGGTGGAAACTGAAGATGTCCAGAAGGAACTCTCCAGACAAGGTGAACAAAAGCTCAGTGTTGTAAATTGGTGTAAACTAGAGGGGGAAATTATTTTCGCACAGACAGATATTTCACACACTGGCTGTGATGGATCTGAACTGCTTGTGATGGGACATAATCTCATGGTTCTTTCTTAGGCAAAACAATTGAGGGATTTCTCAAAAGCATCCTTACCAAACCGGGCAAAATGTCTTGGAGGGTTATTTGTATGTTTATAGATATCCTTAGGACTGGAATGAGGTTGTCGCATCAGGCAAAAATATCTGATGAATATTTTTAAGGGGATAATTAAACTTTAGCTAAGAGGGAAATTCTCCAAGGGGGTTTCACACCCATTTCTCATTGAACCATGTTTGGCGTTACTAGGCTGGTCATGATGATCAGTTAACCTAGACTTAGCTCCATTCAGCAGTCTGCCAGGGGATGGAAGTTCCAGTCAAATCAAATTCTGTGGAATCATAGAACTATGTAGAGTTGGATGGGAGCCCTGGTCATCTAGTCCAACCCCCTGCAATGCAGGAATCTCAAAACGCAGTTCCTCCATCCATTCTGAAACCATAACGGACCCATTCCAAATGTGCTAGCAGTTTTATTGCCGCACCACTAGGAGGTTAGGGCTTAGGAACATAGGAAGCTGCCTGACACCAAGTCAGACCACTTGTCCATTTAGCTCAGTATTGTCTACACTGACTGGCAGCAGCTCTCCAGGGTTTTAGAATGAAGACATTCCCAGTTCTGTCTGGAGAGGCTCAAGATTGAACCTGGAAACTTTCGCATGTGAAACATGTGCTCTAATCACTGAGCAATTGGTGGCCCTTTCTCAATGCACCTAACACTCATGCAAACCCTGGCTGTAAGCACCCACAGAGACTTCCATTCATCAGCCCCTTCTGAGCAACCTCCAGGAAAAACTGGCCCTGTATGGGAATCCAAGCTCTCATTCTAGCCATTCTTGAACCCAGCCCATTATAATAATTTTGGCACGCCTTGTTTTCTTTTAAAACGCGAAAGCTTATCTGTTGAGAAGTTCAAGGTTTTCTCCTCTAACTATCTGTTAATCGATAAAGTCTGAATATTTCCCACGGTCTGCAAAGCTGCCTTTAAAGCAGGAGAAAAGAGGACCTTTTGTTAGAACTCCTCGCTAAATGGCTCAGGCCATTTACAGCAAAATGGACTAGTTAGGGGATTTTTATTTTTTGGAAGGGGGTATGTGCACTAATGTGTCTCCAAAGGTTTCATGAAAAGAGGAGGTGTAAGGGCCGGGTTATCCTCTCCTGACTTCAAATCCTACCCCTGAGGCACTAGGCACAACAAGATCCTTCCTCAGACCTTCCAAGTGCTAACACATTGTTAGGCCCTTCCTCATCTCATCAGGCTCCAGCCCCTAACTCCTGGGCTTGCCTCCCTCAGGAGACTGGCAACTCTAGTTGTATAGGAGTGTTGTCAGTCAGCTAGGAGGCTGGCAGAACCCCAGCTCATATCAGGCTGTGCCTTTGTTTGGCATACCAGTTTCCACAAAGAAGACTTGGCTGATCATTATTTACCTGTTTACTGGAAGACATATTGGTTAACGAACTGATGCTGCTGGTATCCGTGACCACCATGGCTGAAGGGAACCGGGATGTGTGGGAATACTGAGGGGGTTCCTGCTTGTGCGCGTACACTGTGGAGGGAAACGACAACAGCACTTCTGTCATGTGAGGCAGTGGGGAAGACAGGCAGCCCTTTTAGCATGCAACTATAAACGAACTCACCCCATCAATGGAGAAAGACTCACTCCAAGAGACGATGACTCTTAGTTGGGGGGTTTTATTTTATGGAGTTTTAAAATTTGTTAGAAATGGAAGCAGGAGCACAAATTACACTTATTGGTCCCCAGTCCAGAACAGAAACCAATCCAATGAATGCAGTTGGTATTTGTTGTTGTTTTCAGCTTGGAAACTGAATTATTACATAATAATTATTACATAAATTTCCACCACAGCCGACAGCGAGGCAAATAATGTAATATTGGGAGCTGAACCGCAGTGGAATAGATACAGTGCTGCATGCAATAAATATGGGTCAGAAAAGAAATCAATGCCATCTTATGCCCCTAATGTAGTGCCCCCGCCATCCCTTATCCTTGGAACAAACTTATGACAGAACTGAAGCTAAGAAAGGCTGAGTGGCCCCAACATCACTCTGTAAGCTCTGAGGCCGAATGAGGATTTGAACCCAGGTCTAACCACTACACCACAGTGTCCCTTCTGCCCTGTTTTCGCTTCTCAGTCTGCTGTCCAGGCCCCTCCAACTCTCCCGTCTTAGGGTTCTTTATTTTAAACTGGACTTGGACCAGGCAGGGCTGTGTTCTGTAAAAAGCATGGCGATCCCTACTTTCGCTAAGGCAGTGATTCACAGATTCTGTTTTTTTCTGGGAAACCAGGAACTAGGAAGGAGATTCAACGTTTTAAAATTCTGGCCCCTGTAGCAACTGCTCCTCCCAACAATACAGACAGACAGCACCTCAGCCACATCTGCATCATACATTGAAAGCCATCCTGTAGCACTTTAAAGCATCATGGCTTCCCCCAAGGAATCCTGGGAAGTGTAGTCCACTAAGGATGCTGAGAGTTCTTAGGGACTCTCTTCTTTCCCTCAGGGAGCTGCTATCTCCCAGAGCAGTTTAACAATCAACCCCTCTTCCCCAAGGAACTCCCAGAATCCTGTGGGGGGAGCCATGGCTGTGAAGGCGGTATAATACCTCTTTAAATGTATGGTGGAGACGTGGGCACAATTAGTCGCTCTTTTCACCTCGGGAAATACCTGACAAGATCCTTACTGTGTGAATTCTGCAGCTGCGTCACCATGAAGGGCTGCTGTGCCATAGGGTTGGGCGATTGCTGCATGATGGGCTGCTGGTGGGGGCTGTGCAGCTGCTGGGAGAACTGGACGGGCTGCAGGGCTGCCAGGCTGCTGGCCACGCTGTTGATGACGGGGATGCTCTGTGCTTGGGAACTGTTTAGGCCTGGGAGAGAGAGAGAGGAAGAGGGGGAAGGGGGAAACAAATTAGACAGGGTGAGGAATCTGGGCCCTTGCAGCTTTCTGCATGTCTGGAATGTATTCCACAGTGCAAAGGTATACGAGTCTCATCCGCTGCTGTTCCCCCTTTGCTTCCGGCTCTGACCACCACCACCACGCAATTCCTACAAGGGAATGCTTCCTTGATCTGGAAAAGGTCCCTCAGATTATTCCTAACATACATCAATTACCTTCCTGCCTTAATTCACACACGGTGGTACAGTGGTACCTCCGGTTGTGGACAAGATCCGTTCCGGAGCTCCGGTCGGATCCCGAGGCTTCCGCAACGGGAGGTGCCTGTTCTGCACATGCGCACGGCGCAATAGAGCACTACTGTGCATGCACGTGCAGTGAAACCCGGAAATATACTTCCGGGTTTGCTGTGTGCGTATCCCGAAGGATATGTAACAAGAGGGGCACGTAAGTAGAGATACAATTTCTAGAAATTCTTAAAGTCTCTAAAGCTTTACTCAGAGTAAAAAAAGGTAAAGGTAAAGGTGTACTCAGAGTAAACCCAATGAGATCAGTAGACCTAAGTTAGCTATGTTCATGAATGGGTTTACTCTGTATATGACTAACATTGAATGCAATCCACGGCTAGCCAAAAAAAGCCTTCCTTCCTTCCCCTCTTCAAAGCTCACTTTTTTCTGTGAAGCCTCTGGCCCAACCCATTCATCACCATGTGCTCTGCTGCAGACAGCTAATGTGGTGCTTCCCATACGAATGATGGACTACATTTCCCATCATCCATTCCCATTGGCTCTGCTGGCTGAGGCAGATGGGAGCTGCAGTCCAACAACATTTGGTGGGTACCATGTTGGCTATACCTATCCTACGGTACCTAAGCTTAAGTACGTGTAACTGAAATAACAACATGTTATTTCCGTGTTCACACCTGTTTCCATTTTCCTCGGTTCTTCTCCCATTGTGAACTTTGGGCTGTAAGATCCTCAGGGGAGAGACTTGTTTCCTGCTCCCTCTACAATGTCCTTCACACTGATGGCATATCATATAAATACGAAAGAAAGATACAGCCTTCCAGTCCAGCAGAAAAGCACTTACTTTGTGTGATAGCCATGACACCTGATAATGGCGCCATGATGAGGTTCTGGGACTGTTGTGGATTATGATGGGAAAAGCTGTGAATGTTCGTGAGAGTACTGACCGGGGGAAGCCCACCTCCTGGCGCCGTAATCTGCCAAGAAAGGAAGAAGGGGCAATTCAAAACTGAGGCATGGACAGTCAGCCAAACAACTCTAGCTCCACTGAGTGTCTCATACAGGCAGAAAGTCAGGATATAAAAGTTACAAATAAGTAAGATTGTGCACAGAGGTTTGTGATGCAGCCTTTACTACTGTTGTATGTCCTTTTGGAAATCTTTTGTTGTTTTACCTCAGAATTCCCAGAGATACTTACTTTGAGCAGAGGCCTTCCAATTCGCCTCAGATTTTCCTTTGGGGGAAACCCAGTAGCACCCAAGGCTTTTATATATTTACTATTACTTTTACATCCCTCTTCTCCAAGGGCCTTAACACCGTTCACCACAGCCCCAATTTATGCACACAACCCTTGTCCGGCTAAGAGACGGCATTTGGCCAACGGTCGCTCAGTGAGCTTCATGGCCAAGTGGAGATTTGAACCCGGTGCTCCCAGGTCCTAAGTCCAACACACTTACCACAACACCACACATGCTCTTCCCTGGTCCTGAATGATTTTGCTATTCTTATCTCAAAAGTCCTTCAACATTCCTACAGGCGTCATCACCTGGCCTTCCAAAAACTGGCCTCCCATTTCATGGGAGGGGGGCAATTCCCTGGCAGCATTATTTGTACAGTGCCGTGTGAGCCTGGCTACGGTAGTCAGTAAACGACTTTCTGGACGGACGGCCAGGTTGTCTCAGAAGAGAACTATGCATCCCTGGCCAAGGGAGAGAAAGCAACTATAAAAACCACCCAGTGTGACATGAATCAGTCAAGCTAGGCCAAGGAAAATAACCCCACAAGGCGAATTTCTAGAATATTCTCACACTTCTGGTACTGAAAGCTGGCATTGCCCAAACAAAGAGGGGAAATAAGTGTTATAATACCAGGAACCGGGGGCTCGGGAACAAGGGGCTAAGAGAGGGCAAAAATGCTTCAGAGGTTGAACTGTGGATGTTTTGAACTGTTTCAAGATGGCTGTCATTACACTTTGGGCAGGAAGGTCCATTTGCCTGGCCCCATGGCAACGGCATCATTGCGTGTGCTAAAGTTCGCATTCTCCTCACAGGGGTCATTGGCCAGGCAGCCGGCCTCAGTGAGGACATGCCGTCCAACACACTTAACACACCCATTCTGGCCACACACTGAGCGGAAGATCAAGTGATAGGCCTATCTAGTGATAGGTGAGCAGTCTTTCAAGCCTGGTGTCATAAGAGGGGCATCCTCGGGCAGCTACTGCCACTGCCCAGGGCTCTCTTTTCTGGTGCACAGAGGCATGCTGGGCAGCTGCCACTATAAATTACCCACAGTTACTGCCTCTCAACCTGAAGTTATTAAGTATATATTAAGTATACCTGAAGGAGCGTCTCCACCCCCATCGTTCTGCCCGGACACTGAGGTCCAGCGCCAGGGGCCTTCTGGCGGTTCCCTCATTGCGAGAAGCAAAGTTACAGGGAACCAGGCAGAGGGCCTTCTCGGTAGTGGCACCCGCCCTGTGGAACACCCTCCCTTCAGATGTCAAAGAGATAAACAACTACCTGACATTCAGAAGACATCTGAAGGCAGTTCTGTTCAGGGAAGTTTTTAATGCGTGACATTTTAGTGTATTTTTGGTCTTTGTTGGAAGCCGCCCAGAGTGGCTGGGGAAACCCAGCCAGATGGGCGGGGTACAAATATTATTATTATTATTATTATTATTATTATTATTATAACCTAACATGACTAGCAGGGTTGTTGTGAGGTTAAAAATGGGGAGGACCTTGTACTCCATCTTGAGCTCCTTGGAGGAAAGATGGAGTATCAATATAACTAAATAAATAACAAATAAGGCTGGAGCTAGCCCTTCTCCTTGAGAAACTTCTAATAAACCTCTGAGGCAACCTAGGGAAGGAATGGGGGAGAAAACTGGCTTGTGTTTTCATTTTTAATGAGAAACTACCTAATTTGCACTTCGCAGACCAAATTCAAATGCAAGTATCCTTCAAAAATGGCATGTCTCTGAATTTTTGTGATGCAGCTCTCCAGCCAACCAAAAATGCATACTTAGGTGAAAGTGTGCATAAAGATGTGTGCATTAGTGAAATTAACATAGAAAAATGCATCAGATTATGAGAACTGGCTTGCAGAAATGGTTATATTAGTAAAAACTGCATACAAATATGTATTTATTGGGGGGGGGGAATTGCACTAAATTGCTGGAAATTTGCATGAAGATTTTTTTTTTAATAGTAAATTGCTGCGGAGATGTAAAGAAACCAAACACTATAGATTTGTCGATTTCTTCTTTACAGTCCACCAGAAACACAGATGATTGAAAGCAATTTACAGAGGGCATATCTACTAAAGCTTTCAGCACTCTCTGATCATACATTATAAGAAAGGGGGCGGGGGCTTCATTCAACGCAGGACACAATTCCTTGTAAGCTTACCTTGAGGAAGGAGAAATTCCTCAAGTCCATGTCGCCTCAGTCAGGCATGCATGTGATACAAAAAAACCACCCCATTTACACAAACCATTTAATGCATCAGCAAATCTTGAAAAAGCGATTAGGGACAGAAAAATATATGAATTAATAAGGACAGGGGAGGGGAGTCACCTGACCAGGAAAGAATTCGACCCCATGGTCACAAAGAAAACTTGCAGAGGCACTCTCCAGCGTTATGACCCTGAGTGCAGAGTCATAAAAGACTGACTGCACACCCAGAGACCAGACTAACACATGTCGGGAATTAAGACATTGGCAAAATGCCTAGGCAAATTCCAATGCAGATTCTGATTTTTACCTGATGGGGCTAAGAGACAGATTTCATTTGATTTTATTTATTTGAAGGATGTGTAATATTTTTTGACGATCATGCACCACAAAGCACTCACAACATACACATCGAAACAGAAATCCCAAGTCTAAATGAAAGGCAGCATAAAACCATTTTAAATATCAATGTGGTAATAATTCTATAAGCCTACAAATTGGAAAAGAAGTAAATCTGTAGCATAATAACTAAATTTCATCTCGACACCCACCAACCTGCACAAAAGCTCAGCTCCTGCTTATATCTAGCAGAAGAGGACCTTTGTAGCCCCACCTCTTTAGACCTGCCTCCTTAGCCCTTGGTCCTGCCCAGTTGGCTACTAGAGGGTTTAAAAAAGGTTCCCCACCTCTGCTTAGATAAAAAGTACAGTGGTACCTTGGTTTGCGAACTTAATCCGTTCTGGAAGTCCATTCTTAAACCAAAGCGTTCTTAAACTAAGGCTTGCTTTCCCATAGCAGCGGGGGACTCAATTTACAAATAGAACACACTCAACAGGAAACAGAACACATTCGTATTCCAAGGCAAAGTTCACAAACCAAAACACCTACTTCCGGGTTTGCAGCGTTCTTAATCCAAGTTGTTCATAAACTAAGCTGTTCTTAAACCAAAGAACCACTGTAGTTCTTAAAGGCTCCAAGGGACTTTGAAAAACATGCTGTGTTTAACTAGTTTCACAGGGCAATCACAGGGCCCAGTACCTTACATTAAGAGTTTCCACGTAACACATAAACATGATATAGCACAGTTTAAATGCTACATATACACACACTGATTGGCCAGTGCCCATGTCATCGCTAGGAAATCACCCATACTCCCAATCTCAGGTTAGTTTTGCAGGATTTCTTTTAAGAAAATACTTTCAGATTCTAATTACGTCATGAAGGGATGGTTAAATATGCAAACTCTGCTTTTGAAAACAATCACACACACACACACACACACACACACACACACACCCTTCCCCAAAAAGGCAGAGTCCACCTGAAACATGGCAGAGGGAGAAAGACCAACAAATGCCTTTCATTTGTCAAGGAGGGACAAAGCTGGGATCAGCCAATGGCCAAGAAGTCTGCCCTGAGCTCTCTTTTTATATAATGTCTTCTTGAGATAGAGAGCTCGCCCTGCCATTAGTGTTGTCATTCTTTCCATCTCTATTGGAAAAAACAGTGGCCTGGTTCACAAGTAACACTAAACCATGCCTAATGATAACCATGCCTAATGATAACCATAGTTAATGAACCATAGATTTGAAGCATCTGGCAGACAATCACTTAAACCATGGAGGGTTTTTTATGCCACAGATTTGTTAGAAGCATTAGCAACAGCAGCCAAGCTTTGAGAGTGGCTTGAATTTTTTTACCGTTCTTCACTTGCAGTGACGGTTCCTTAATCATAATTAAGGAGGTTTGCTTGTAATGTTAAGCCATGGTTAATGTTAACAAAGGCTAATAAACCAACTGCAAACCTTAGTTATCGATCTTTAACCATAGTTAACAAGCCATAGTTAAACTGCTTAGCTGGGTTCACACATAACACTATGCCATAGTTTAATAAACCATAGTTTACTGTTACATACGAACCAGGCCATTCTTACTTTTGCTAACATCTGTTGGCCTGAATGTAGATAGTGATAGCGGTTAAAAGAGAAAGGGATCATGGGAGTTTGCTAAATGACTTCAGTGGGGCTGGAATGATTGAAGGTGGTGTGTGTGTGTGTGTTTTAATCAAATGGAATGTCATCAACAGCGAAGAGCAAACAATGATCCACCCCACCGTTCCAATTTAGCAGGCATTCAATCAATACCCTGAGAACGGCTCTGTGTCACATTTATTGGCGGGTTTCAAAGCCTGTGTCACTACCTGTTGCCAGGGAAAAGGTAAGGTCAGCATGATGACTTTTTCCTTAGTGTACTCAGGCTTTCCCCCTTCCCGTCCCTACAAATGCCTCATTGTTTTAACACAGCTCTTGTGCAAAAAAACACACACGCACACACAAACCCCCAGAGTTTTCAAAAAAAATGAAAAAGAGAAAGTTTTGTTTGTTTTGCTTGCTAGGCCATCTTATCTTATCAGTCCCTGAGCTACAATAGGGCAGGTGTGCTCACCATTTTGCCGTCTGGTGGGAGCAGGCTGTGGCTGTGGCCTGGGTCCAAACCGGCTGGAGACACTTGCTGTAGGGCAGCCTGGCTGGTGGTCACCATGGAGCTGTTGCCATGGTGACTAATGGCGGAGGAGGAAGTGACTTCATTGCTCCCAGGTTGGCTGTAGCGGACTCCTGGGGAGAAGATAATTCAAATAGTTTCAGGCATGTTATTTATTTGTTTTAAAGGCATTTATATGCTGCTTCACCATTAGCACTTTCTAAGCGGTGTACATTTGATAATAAAAAAGCCATATGGGGAATAAAACAACTTAAAAGATCACCATAAAACCCACACAGAAACCTGGATGCTACCTTAAAATGCCTCCTGGAACCAAAGAGTATTTAGGATTGTTCACAGATTACACTGGACACAGATACAAGCTGTGCAAGTGTGTGGGTGAAAGCGTGCAGGTGTGTTGCTTTCTACAGCTGAGATTTTGTGTACACAGAGTCTGTGTGCATATTGAACATGACATGTTAATAACTATACAAGTGCACAGCTCAGCCGTTTTGTGTCCACGAAAGAGCTGTTCATACATCTGGCTGGACGCAGGCACAGGCGGTCTCTGCACAAGTATAAGTTTTGGTGTGAAAGTGTATACTTGTTCACTTGCACAGCTCACCTGTTGTGTACATGCATGCAAAGACTGTACACTGTTTTAACAGGACATGCAAATTATTGTACAGCTCCACTATCTGTATCACACGGGCACGCGGGTTGTACACTTGTTGGATGTAATGTGTGAACACCCCTTTTGTCATTCATGTGAAGTTCAACAAGGAGGGCTCCTGTCTCATCTCAAGTCAGAGGGAGGGAGCTGCACAGGTCTGGGCCCACAAAACTGAATGCATGGAGGACCACCAACAGAGACTCCCCCCCAGAGTCAAGTGACTGGGCAGGGATGTAAGGGATCAGGCAGTCATTGAGATGTCCTAAATCCAAGCTGGTAAGGTCCTACACTGACTGGCAGAGGCTATCCAGGGTTTCAGGTATGGGTCTCTCCCAGCCCTACCTGGAGATGCCAGAGGATGAACCTGGAACCTTCTGCATGCCAAGCAGATGCTCTGCCACTGAGCTGCGGTCCTTCCCCATACAGTCGTATCTCGGAAGTCGAACGCCTTGCGAGTTGAACGTTTAGGCTCCCAAATGCCACAGACCCGGAAGTGAGTCTTCCGGTTTGTGAATGTTCTTTGGAACCTGAATGTCCAACACAGCTTCTGATTGGCTGCAGGAGCTTCCTGCAGCCAATCGGAAGCCGCGCTTTGGTTTCCAAACGTTTTGGAAGTCAAAACGGACTTCCGGAACGGATTCCGTTTGATTTCCGAGGTACCACTGTACATCCTTCCCATATACCAGATGTGTGTCCAACAATACACACCAGCAGCTGTGAGAAAAACAGACAGCTCGTCTTGTTAAACAAGGAGCAGTTGGAAGGTATGAAATGATTCACCGTAAGTATGTTTAAGTTTTTTATATAAACAATGTTCAAAACCTTCAGCCATGGGATACACTGGATGCGGCACTGGAAGGCACACAGAGCAGATCAGAAATAATTAACTGAGGAAGCCAGCTGGGAAACAAAATCCCTTTTATCAGTCCTGGGGCTCAAAAGGTAATTTGTTATGCACCGTCATGCGCCACAAACCAAAAGCATTGTTGGAAGGCGAGCCGCTGGGGGAAGATAAAGCCCGGGCAGCACCTGGGCAGCTAAAGTGATCACAGTGGACCTGGTAAAGGAGGAATCAGTGGCAGAACCCATGCTTTGCCTGCAGAAGGTCTTGGGTTCAGATCCTAGCATTAAAAAATTAAGAAGAGCCTGCTGGATCAGGCCAGCAGCCCATATCTTAGCCTAACCTGCCTCACAGGGTTGTTGTGAGGATGAAATGGAAGGAGGAGAGTCATGTACACCACCTTGAACTCCTTCGAAGAAAAAGTGGTATATAAAAATAATAAATACTTTTTTTCAGTGGGTACTCAAGGGAACGCACTACTGGCGCATCTCCTTATTTTTTTGTTACTTACTGTAACAACTTCATGGTGAGTACCGGCACCTATTTTTCTAGTGGGGAAAAGCACGGAATAAATGCGAACACAAACGTGGGTGTGCATGCTGCAAAAAGCTTGCGGCGTAAGCAACACCCGATCCCACGATAAAAGTTCCGTCTGGAAGAGCCCTTTGTCCATCTAGCTCAGTACTGTTGACTCTGACTGGCAGCAGCAGCTCTCATGCAAGTCTTTCTCATTACCTACCAGCTTATTCTTTCAACTGGTGAGGCCACCTGGGCTTCAACCTGGGAACTTCTGCATGCGAAACATGACCAGTCCAAGGTCCCTTCCCAAGATTTGCACTCCAGATGAGACTCGAACTCAGCCCCACCGCTGCCCTGAGGTCTAGTTCTGGTTAAGCAGCATAAGCTAAAGCAGGGGTAGCCAACATGGTGCCTTTCAGAAGTTATTGGAACACCCCACCCATCATCACAGACCATGGGCCATGCAGGCTGGAGATCATGTGAGTTGTGGTCCAGCAACATTCTAGAGGGTTGTTGACTCCTGAGCCAACAGATTACTCCACTGAAGCCCAGTAGCCAGTTGACCAATGCAGGAAACAGGATTCTGAATGAGATGGATATTTGATCCAATTTTGCAGAGAAAACCATGTGGATGTATCTGCTATCTGGATATATACACTGACCCACTCAAGCCATGCAAATCCATTGAGTTGACCTCAACCCAGAATATATATACCCACCATACATTTAAAGCATATGTTCTCCGCCCACAAAGAATCCTGGGAACTGTAGTTTGCCGAGGGTGCTGGGAACCGTGAAAGGCAAGCTACGGTTCCCAGAATTCTTCGGCGGAAGGAATCTGCTTTAAATGTATGGCATGTGGATATTGCGACCCATATAGACCCCATGCCACAGATGCAGAAAGTGTTTGAGAGGCCTTTTTCTCGAGATGTCTTTGGCACCCTCTGTTTCCCCATCCCCGATAATGGAAGAATGCTCTTTTGACAAATGGACCTTTGCCAGCGCAAGTGGATGCCCCAGACATGAACAGGGTAAACATTGCTCAATCTGAAGCGCTGTACACCCGCATTCTTCCACTGTATTCCTAACCTCATGCAAAGGGTGCCCAGGCTCGGGCCAGATCAGAAAGTCTGAAACATTGTTTGAACAATGGGAGGGAAGATAATTAGAACAAAGAGAGCTGAGTTTGAGGGACGAGGTTTGTTTTTTCGTAACTGAAACGTAAATAACACTGATTCCTTCATTACCTCCTCCCCTCCACAATCCACATGGATTTTGCCATTTTAAAAGGAGAATCGGTTTCTGCTTAGGAAAGTTAACTCCAAGGTGAAAAATCCTGTTAAGAGATAATTAAAGCTTTATGGGACCATCTACGTATTTTATTGCATTAATACATAATACAATTAAATAATGCCAAGCATATTAAGGTACCTGTATATTTGGAATTCTGAAGATTCTTGTGCTGATTCTCTTCCACTTCCCCACCCTTCCCCACCCCCACTTTTTGGGCCCCCAAATCCTAAAATTCCTAGTTACAGACCGGTGGTTACAGTTGATACAGGGTCTTCTGGCAGAATGGATTTCTTTTTAAGCACTGCAGAAACCAAGTACAAATATGCTTTTTCTGATCATGTTCTCTGGTCCTCCCCTATCATTAGGCAGTGAGGAGAGCTTCTGCCTTTTGGAAGAAGGTATAGGGTTATAAAGACCAGGACTAGCCGCCTGAGAAACAGTTTCTACCCAAATGCAATTCTGGTTTTAAATGCAGTATAAGGAGTCTCTATAGTATATTGTATTTTTAAATGGGGTTTCAGAGTTTTTAGGGGGTTTTGAATGTCTTATGTAGATTTTTCAATTTCATTGTTCTGTATGGGACAATGACAATAAAGGTATCGTATCGTATCGAACTGCTTCAGGCAATAGAGGCTAGGAGATGGCATTGGCAACCCCCTGGCTGTACACTTCTGCTGGAGGACAAGGCTGAGTGTGTGGACGCCATGTGGTCTGTCCCTGCACCGCCATAACTAGCATGCTCCACTAAGGAGCGGTGGGGAACACTCTCCCATTGCCTGGAGCTAGGGCTGAAGCGAGGTTCAACTCCCAGTCCACCCAGCTTCTGCAATGGTGCCGTCTTGTATTTCACCTCAGGAAGAGAAATGCTTCAGGCTGACCCCACCTGCGGAGATGGCAAGAACATCAGGAGGGCCCTGCTAGGTCAGACCAAAGGCCTATGTAGTTCAGCAACCTTGCTCTTGCAGGCATGTGGGGTTGGACTAGATGACCCTCATGGCCCCTTCCAACTCTACATTTCTAGGATTCTATGAATATGCAGTTGCAGTGTAGGGCAAAATTGACTGAATTTTATTGTCATGTGTGTTTTTAATTGGTTGGCAAGTCATTTTGGGGGATGTGCTTTGGTGGTACAGCAGCATAACATACCAAAACAAGGAAACAAACAACAACACTTCTTACCTGCCTATTGCTATTATCATTAATAGTTCATATCCCACAGTTTCCCACTTGTCTTGTGCTTTCTAGGCATGAGTCTTAAGTGGTTAAACCTTTGACTTGCTGCTTTCCCCTAGAAAACCAGCTGTTTAGAACCTAAATCAGAGCAAATGTCAATCTGGAGAAAACCCAATGACATTTGTTCCCATTCAGGGCTGTGTGGATGAGCCCAAACTCACAAATGATAAAACAGTTAAGTCATTGAAAAACAATTCCAATAAAGATGCAGACTGGAAAGATCTCTACTTAAGAAGCTTGTTTGGGACTAGGTGGTCCCAGGATGGGTTGCGACAATTTAACAGTACAATATTATAACAGTTAATGATGGATTAACATCATTACAGATTACAAGGAAGACAACAGGAAGGCTCCTAATTAGGGCTGGCCGATACCTGGATTTCAACATCGTGATATATCACCAGCCGAACATTGTGATATCACGATGTCTGAAATAAGGGTGGAGTTATGTGGCTGGCTTCACGGTTCTTCCTCCATTGTGATTTTTGCATAACACACACACACACACACACACACACACCATGATTTATTATATATTGCCAGGTCAAAAATTATGAAACCAATATCATTATATGACTTCAAAACTGGTTTTGGATGATAACACCGCCCAGCCTGAATACACATCATGATTTGTGATACACTGCCAGGTCAAAAATTATGAAATGGATATGACAATATGGACTTCAAACTGGTTTTGGACGACATATCAATATATTGCCCAGTCCTACTCCTGATCTCCCTTGCCTGCCTTCTCTCTGTATGTGTGTGTGGAGTCAAAGTCCAGGGCAAAGTGTTGTGCCTTCAGCAAACTAAGACTACACAGTGAAGGTGCTGGGTACACCTTTGTGGGGAGGGAATTCTCCCCAATTCAGGGGCTGCCACAAATAATGCCCTCTCCTGGGCAGACACCCCCCCCAAAAAAATCTGATGGTGAAGGAACTGCCAAGAGGACCCCCCTCTGCTGATCTTAACACCTGAGATGGTCTATAGGGAAGGAGGTGGTTTCTTAAATATATTTGAGGCTCAAGTTATTCAGGGCTTTAAATGCTAATATGAGCACTTTGAACTGGCCCTGGAAATGAAATGGCAGCAACCAACATGATATCCCTGGCTTGGAATAAATGAAAAAATATTGAGAATCCTTAGCAGCTTGCCTGGAAGGTAAAGATTCCCTGCCTTCTGAATGTCTTGGGATAATATATTGCGCGAAGGATATTGTCTGTGGTTTATGGAAAACCTGGGCGAGACAGGCATTGAAAAGCCCAGCCCATTGTTCGCCCTCTTCCCTTGCCACAGCGTGAGGCTCTTGTGGCATGGAGAGGTTTCATTCTTCCCGGAGCTCTCTCTGCCATTAGTTCTCAGCAGCAAAGCCTGATAGAAAAACCACCTCTGCGTGACTGCGCCTTGCTTCATAAAGATGGCTTTAGTAGAGGAGCAGACGGAATATAAAAGTCTTGTTTATGGGACCTGAACTATTGTTTCCGACTCCAGGTTGCAGAGCCCATCAAATGCCTTTATTGGCTGCTTCATGTTTTCCTGCCCAAGCACAGAAAATATCGGTTTCCTAACCACATTGGCTTGTTTGGTGAAACTTTCCAAAGCAGATCCCATCTCAAATTGCGCATTGTGGGTAGGTGGGGGGGGGGAATATTTCCTTTCGGGTTCCTCCAGACGTCCTTTTTATCGAACACTCATGATGATTTGTGCTTATGATAGTATCTGGGCAGTCATACACAATCCCACTTCCAACACTATATGTACCTGCAAAAGTTTTGGGGCAGTCACGCTGCTTCATTTCCAGTGGTTCGTATCCCGCAACTTCCTGATGGAATCCCAAACCCATTTTTACGCCACCATGTCCTGGTTTATTTTTGTTCCACTCTTGTTCCACTATAGCCCCTTGAGACAGTGCTCATAGAAAAGAACCACAAAATAAAGTAGAATAAATCAACCACTAATGCACTATTTCTGTGTCAACACCATGCTGCAGAAGAGACCCACAATAAACCACCCGTCTGGAGAGGCCCTTTGTCTGTTCTGGATCCATTGCCCATAAATTTAACTTGGATGACCTTGAATTCTAGTATTATGGGAGAGGGAGAAAAGGTTCACTCTCCATGCCATGCATAATTTCATAAAACCTCATCTTAACCATTCTCCCCTACCCACAAACAAGAAAGCCCCAGATGCATTGTCTTTTCCTCCTATGGGAGGTATTCCACGTACACAGGTCCTATTGCCTTTTCCTGCTCCTTTCCAACTTTTTCAGCTTGCCTGGTGCTTTTATTACATATCTTTAGGTGCCAGGCGAAAACATTCTCTTTAACCAGGCCTTGGGCTCATTCTATATCCTTTTAAATGTGTTTGTGGGAGTGGGGGTTATAGGTTTGTTTTTGTTTTTATCATATGTGTTTTCATTTTGTATTTTTTTGTTGTGAACTGCCCTGTGATCTTTGGGTTGAGGGCTGTATACCAATTTAATAAATTTATTACTATTGTAGCTCAGTGGTAGAGAGCATCTGCTTTGCATACAGAAGGTCCCAGGTTCACTCCCCAATAGCATCTGCAAGCAAGACTAGGAATGTCCCTGGCCTTGGGAGAACAGCTGCCAGTCAGTGTAGACAATACTGAGCTAGATGGATTACGGTCTGACACAGTATAAGGCAGGTTCCTCTGCTCCTAACCATATTCAAGTACAGTGGTACCTCTAGTTGTGTTCACCTCTGGTTACGTATCCTTCGGGATACGTACGTGGCAAACCCAGAAGTATTTTTCTGGGTTTCGCCTCGTGCGCAAGCGCAAAAGCGCTTTACGCGCCATGCGCATGCGCAGAAACACCATCTCCAGTTGCGAATTCCTTGGGATGTGACCGTAGCTCCAGAACAGATCCCGTTCGCAACCAGAGGTACCACTGTATTCCAAATCAGGACATGATATACAGTGGTACCTCGGGTTACATACGCTTCAGGTTACATACGCTTCAGGTTACAGACTCCGCTAATCCAGAAATAGTACCTCGGGTTAAGAACTTTGCTTCAGGATGAGAACAGAAATCGGGCTCCGGTGGCGTGGCGGCAGCGGGAGGCCCCATTAGCTAAAGTGGTGCTTCAGGTTAAGAACAGTTTCAGGTTAAGAACGGACCTCCGGAACGAATTAAGTACTTAACCCGAGGTACCACTGTATTTATAATATAAAAGCATGTCATTACCGGCAGTTTTATTTTTAATACTTTCCCCTCCTAAAACTGGATGTTTTATTTTGGTTATATTCACACCATGCATTGAAAGCACTATGATATCAAGCTTTGAACTTCCATGGCTTCCCCTAAAGAATCCTGGGGGCTGTAGTTTGTTAAGGATGCTGGGGTTGTTTTTTTTAGGGGACCCCTCACAGAGCTAGAATTCCCAGCACCTTTAACAAACTACAGTCCCCATGATTCTTTAGGCAGGGAACCATGGCAGTTGAAGTGGTGCAACAGGGATTACCGTAAATGTATTGGGTGGCTGTGACTTTTTAGTTCATAAGCCACACATAGCAGAGGAAGGAAACCTACGCCATAATCCACAAAGTCTCCAAGTCACTAAAGGCTTTTTCTATAATTCTGAAGGCATGGGTCCAAGTGGTTCTAAATCAGAACAAACAGCAATCCACTGAAAACAGGAGTGCCTTTTTCCTCTGACTGAGCACTAAGGAATGGTTTCTTCCTGGGGAAAGAAGCAGGGATAGAGGAAGTGTGGATAACCCCTAACTCTTCCGACTCGCAGGGGGAGCTCTTTCCACCACCCCCCAAAAGGCTGATCAACCAAACATTTCTGCCTTTGTACCATTTCATCTACAAGAGCCCACGGATTCTATTGAGAGAGCCAGCAAAAACTACAAGAGACTGCCACTCAAAAGGTGCTTGAAAGCGTTACTCTCCTGCGGCTGTGGGGCGAATCATTTGTGTCCATTATAAACCAGTTTATTGTGACTGTCCTCCTTTGCCTATTTGGCTGGTGCCATAAAACTCTAATTATCCCCAGTAAAACCAGAAAAGGTTCCTAAACAACGTGTTGAGCTGATACAACACAATAATGAGCAAGAAAGCGTAAAATATGGGGCTTGGATGGGCCGTCCCCCTTTGGCATTCAAATCCAGTATTCTGCTGCTCCTCCTAGCAGTAGAATGGGGAATAAATCACTGAGAATCTTTTTAAGTACTCCCCTTCCCCCAGAGAACTAACCCCTACAACTTTATTCCAAAGGACTGAAAATCTTAAGACATGTAAAAACAGGTATAATTAAAGAAGAAAGCACTTGTCTCCTTTACATGAAGAGTAAGTTGGTATGTTGTGCTAATATCTCTGATTTGGTTGACTTTTGATGAGTTGATTTATACTAGAAAGAGAGATGTCAGAATGGATGCCACATCCATTCCAAAACAGCACAGTTCATCTCTGGTGTGACTGAACTCTCTTTAGCTACTTTAATTCACACATTTCAGGGTCAAGTCTAGCTATTTGAAAGCAGATGCCCAGGCTCAATCCTGGCCCAAATTAAGTCTCAAGTACCATCTTGGGATCCTCCATATGAACTCTTTATTTGAGCATTTCATCTTCATTTGCTTGCACAAGGCTTGCGCAGAGGTTAAACAATGCCCAGTCTTCATTGACCATTTGTTCAGATTTGTTTGCAGGAAGATTATACAAAAATGAAAGTTCATTTGGAGCTCTTGAGCAACAAGCCTGCTTCCAAAAAGAAAGAAAAAAGACAAAGACAAAGGGGACTTTTTGCGATAAGGAAAGTGATGAGAAGATGCCCTGGAAACTATGGAATAACAATTGCTTCATGCGACGCTGTTTAACCTTCATGCGACGCTGTTTAACAGCCAATGTTGTCTAACCTCCCCACAAACCTTGTGCAAACAAATCAGGATGAGCGCTCAGTAAGCAAGTGGTCTGGAAGCAACCTATGTCTGGATCCTCAGTCCCTCATCTGTAAAATAGGAGTTATAGTGAACTCTTTATAGAGTTATAGGGAGTTATACATCACAGGGTTATTGTGCAAGCAGACACAGTGAAAATGGTCATCAGCAATTAAAAAAACCCCCTCCCCTTTTGCCATCCTCTTAAGAAGGTTTAAAGAAAGTTACACACACACACAAAATGTATAAACTTTGCTATACTATAAACTTTGCTAAACTTTGCTCCTCATCCCTTCAGAATTCAAAGCTTAATTGCATACAACTGTTGCACATTATTTAGTACTGGCTAGAGTGGCTTGGGACAGAAGAGGGTTGCAGACAATTTGAGGCATGCTATTAAGCAGTTAAGGAATTTAGTGCTCCAGACAACCCTACAGAAACAGTGCAAGGACAGTTCAAATCCCAGCATGGAGAGTCATCAGTGGGGTCAGCAAAAAAAACAGCCAGCCGTGGGGAGTTGCAAATTCCATCTCTCCCCTGCCCCTCGCATTGTGCAGGTGAGTAAATTAAAGCGGGGATATTAAACCTCCAAAGAAGAGCTTTGCGGCTGTAGATTTCAGCTCTTTTTCTTTCAGCCTCCGGAAGGGATCCTTTGCACATCAGCTGCTTAAGGAAGCCTGATGTGCAGGACTGTGGAAGGATCTCCAGTGTGTGGCAAAGGATTCTGGGATACATTCTAGAGTAAACACAGAAGAGCCCTGCTGGATTGGACCAAGAGTCTGTCTAGCCCACCACCCTCTGTCACACACAGACCATCCAGATATCTTCGGGAAGCCCAAAAGCAAGACGTAACAGCAAGAACGCTCTCCCCAGTTTGTGATTCTCAGCCACTGGTATATAAGAAGATTCCTTATACCCGGTCAGACTATTTGCCTGCCTAGCTTACTATTGTCTGTTCTGACTGGCAGCAGTTCTGCAGAGGCTAGGGCAAAAAGGGGGTCTTTCCCATCACCAACAACGTGGAGATGCTGGGTTTTGAACCTAGGACCTTCTGCATGCAAAGCAGGTGCCCTACCACTGAGCTATGGCCCTTCCCTCTAGACATGGGAACGTAGGAAGATGCCTTATACCAAGTCACACCATTGGTCCATTTCCTAGTGCTACCTGGAGATATCAGGGATTGAACCTGGGACCTTCTGCATGCTCTACCACTGAGAGGAATACTGCTTCTGGGCCTGAACCTGGGAGAAGTATATAGCCAAGATGATTGGGAGCCATTGATAGACTTGTCCTCCGGTTCAATTTGTCTAATCTCCTTTCAAAGCCAACTTAGACAGCAGACATCATCATATTTTACAGGAGCAGATTCCATCAATCAATTAGAACAGGTCCTACAGACCCCACACCAGTTATTGAGAGAGGGTCACAGCTCAGCAAGAGAGCACATGTCCACATGCAGAAAGTCCCTGGGTCAATATCTGGCCAATTCTCAACAAATGAAATTGACCTATGGAAAATGCAACTTGAAAAAAGAGGCATTGTGCATACCTTTGTAAACCAAGAAAACTTTAATAAAAATATTTTTTAAAAAAATATCTGGCCCATTGAAGAGAGGTAGCAGGAATGGATAAAGGTTTCTTCCTGTTCATCATTATTATTATTTATTGATTTTCTTAATCACTCTTCACCATAAGGTCCCAGGGTGGAATACAATATAAAAACACAGGATGAAAATTAGTTGAAACAATCTACAATCAGAATCCTAAATATATGGGTTAATCTATATCTACCAGGTGTCCAAGGCCAGAGCAATCTTCAGCAGATGATGAAAGCTGTGCAATGAAGGAGCCAGGGACACCTCCGTGGGGAGAGAATTTCAGAGCTCAGGGGCTGCCACAGAGAGCACCTTATCACGATGCTCTCTCTGTGGCAAACTTGCAAACTCTCAGAAACAGCATTAAGTTCCAAGAGGACCTCCCCTGTGCCAGTCTTAACACCCAAGAAGGGTCTGTAAAGAAGGAGATGGTCCTTCAGATATTTCAGATGTTTGTTCACACACCATACATTTAAAGTACAAGACTTCAGCCAAAGAATCCTGGGTACTGTAGTTTACCTTCCATAGAGCTACAGTTCCTGGAACCCATTACAAACTTGTGGAAATGAGGGGTACAAGTTTTAACTAAGTAGATATTTCCAGGAAAGGGGGGAGAGAAGGGTTGCCACTTAGCGGTAGAGCTCCTGTTTTGCATGCAGAAGGTCCCAGGGATGCCCAGTTTAAAAAGAACAGGTAAAAGGTGAGAGGAAAGACCTGGAGAGCTGCTGCCAGTCAGTGCAGACAATACTGAACTAAATGGACCTGTGAAGTATATTGCAGCTTCCTATGTTCCTGGAATGCACCATAGCTAAGCAGCAGCACACCTGCTTTGCAGGCAGAAGGTCCCAGGTTCAGATAGGGCTGGGAAAGACCTTTGTCTGAAATCCTGGAGAGCTGCTACCAGTCCGTATAGACAATACTGAGCCAGATGGACTATTGGTCTGACTCAGTATAAGGCAACAATCTATGTTCTTAAGAATCAGCATGGTGACTATCCCATATTTCTCAGAGTGTTGAATTTCACTACTTTCGGACTGAAGTCTGTGCCCTGAGGTAAACGAGGCCTGTAATGGCAAACCTTGCCGATCCAAAGCACAATGCTATTTATTTTATTGTTTAAAGGAAGGGATATAGGGAGGATGGGTTAAAAGGACCACATTTAAGAGCCTTTCCATCCTCTCGGAATAAACTGGACACTGGCTGAACCATCTCAGTGGCCCCGTAATAAGAGGAAAAACAAAAGAGAGTCATCGGCTAACTCAACAGATGCTGGAGGGATGCGGAGGACACATCAAAGGCACCCACGCTGGTTCAAAGCCCCAACTTTAATTGTCAATTAAGCATGCATAACCGGGAGGAGTTGTGGGGGGCTGGGGGGGGGGAGCTGGAAACAAAGCCAGGGTAACCCCCCCTCCTGACTCCATGCTGGCATATTATTGTAAAGGCAAGCAGGGAAAACACTGAAAACAGCTGATTTTGCTGACAGTGTGCTGGTAGTGCATCTTGTAAGCAATCAGGCCCTGACAGAAGAGAGCAAGCTCCTCTCTCTGTCACACGGGTATTGTGTGGGACATTCCACCACTAGGGTCACATCGTGGTCAGTGGGGAAGAGAGTGGAGCCGGTTTAGGCAGCTGCTTCAAAGTACATCCAGATTTGGCTTGTTGCATTTGCTACCCGGGACAGTCGGAGGAACATGGCTACATACACACCATACGTGTAAACCATATTTAAAACACACATCCCTGTGAACTATAGTTTACCCCTCAAAGAGCAACTGCTCCCAGCACCCTTCAACTACAATTCCCATGATTATTTGTATTTTTGTTATACAGTGGTACCTTGGTTCTCAAACGCCTTGGTACTCAAACAACTTGGAACCCAAACACTGCAAACCTGGAAATAAGTGTTCCGGTTTGCAAACATTTTTTGGAAGCCGAATGTGCTCCGTTTTGAGCGTTACGCTGAGGTTTTGCTATTTATTTTGCGTTTTTGTGGCTTTTTTGTTTTGTTTTTGTGACTGTGTAGAACCCGGTTCAGCTACTGATTGATTGATTGATTGATTGATTGTGTGACTGCAGTACATTGTTTATTGCTTTCATTTTATGGATCAATGGTCTCATTAGATAGTAAAATTCATGTTAAATTGCTGTTTTAGGGGTTGTTTTTAAAAGTATGGAATGGATTAATCGATTTGGCGTTACTTTCTATTGGAAAGCACACCTTTGTTTTGGAACGCTTTGGTTTTGGAACGGACTTCCGGAACGGATTAAGTTTGAGAACCAAGGTACCACTGTATTTGTATTTTCCAACCCACCTTTCCTCCTAGCAGCTCAAAGGTGGGTTATTAATAACAACAATAATCATAATTGTACGCTTCCAATTGGGTTGGACTAGATGACTTCAAGCTCTGTAATTCTAAGGTTCAGGGGGTCCCCTTCAGTCTTGGTGGCAAGGAGTGGTTTTGTGATTTTCCTCTAGCACATGCTGCAATCAGTTAATGGGATCTATCTAAGTTTTGCTACAGCCTGATTATTACCAGCGTGTGGCAGCATGGAGGCGAGCTTCTACACTGGTGGCACCAGGGTTGTGGAATGCCGTCATTGCCCAAATATAGGAGCTGCCATGAGGGCTGGCATTCTGAAGGCACACCCCTGTCTAGGCCAGCTTTCCCCTGAACTGAACTTCTTGTTTCATTGTTTCTACTGGTTTTTAATTGTTTTAATTGCTGTGCTGTTCAATTGTTTTTGCATTATTGCATATTCCAATTAAGGATGTTTTGATGCCCTAAAGTATTCGTTACTGTGTATTTTAATTATGGATTTTATGGTCATTTTTTGGTATGTAAGTGGTATACAAATGAATTACTACTACTACTACTACTACTAATAATAATAATAATAATAAATGCATGTTCAGGAACACCAAAGGCACATGCTGCACACAGTATACGTGATCTGTTGCTAGCACATTATCAGAAAAATCGTATCTGTCCCCGCCCCAGCCCTAACATCTTTAACTAATGCTGTCCTGGCATTTTAGTTGCTAGAGAATAGGCTGTAAAATGACTAAGTAAAATGGGTGAAATCAATACAGCCAGTGGGATGGACTCAAGCCACATCCATGCTATGCATTTAAAGCTCGTTTATACCACTTTTATCCATCATGACAAACGAATCCCAGTTTGTTAAGGGTGCTGCAAGTTGGTAGGAGACCCCTCACAGAGCTGCAACTCCCAGAATCCTTAGCAAGCTACAGTTCCCAGGATTCTTTGGGGAGGGGGAAGCCATGATGGTGTTATAGGAGTGTTTTATATGTACCATGTGTGGCTGTGACCTGATCAGTCAGTGGTCTTTGACATGAGGAAAGGGGTGTTACATAAGCACCCTTTATTCATCTGCAGAAGGCTGGAGGGTAAATTGGTCTCACTATCCCAATCATGGGTGGGATTTCAGTTCGGTGGGTAGGGCAGGGAGGACCTTAGCTGATAAAAACCAGACTGGTTCAATCTGCTAAAATCTTCCTGTACATTTAAAATTAGAGGCAGCTTAAATAATGACACATGAATCAGAGAACGGGCCATAGCTTAGTGATATGAACACACACTGGCTCTGGTGTATCCTAGGTTCAACTCCAGAAAGGGCTTGGGAGAGATTTTGGCCTGAAATTCAGGAAATCCGTAGATGATGATTCCTCTGAGGTTCTTCCGAGGCTTTAATTTTAGCCACAAACTTTATGCTGCGATTAATAACATGCTGTGAACCACCCTGAGACCTATGGGTAAAGGATGGTATACAAATTTCATAAAATATACTAATACTAATAATATAATGGCTCCTACACCAAAACATCCTGGAAATTGTAGTCTGATGAGAAGAACGAGGGGTCCAGTCCAAAGGTGACCCTGATTGACACCGTCAGTGTTATACTGAATTCAGGTTGCTCCCAGACACCCTGTTTATTGAATGTTTATTCTGATGATTCGTTTGCACCGAGTTTGTGAGGACATCGGAAGACAGTCACATTCATTTAAAGCACATGACTTCCCCCAAAGGATCCTGGGAACTGTAGCCTGCCCCTCCCGGAGTTAAAACTCCCAGCACCCTTAGCAAATGACAGAACCCGGGCTTCCTTTTTATGGTGGAAGCTATGTGCTTTGAATGCATTATGTGGATCGTGCAACCGACATTGGTTATTTATTCAAAGATTGCTTTATAGCATAAAGCCATCAAAGCACTGTGTAAGATGAAAACCGACCCAAACCCCAAAATGTAACATTCTCACAACAATAGCATCGTTCTGACAAATTCTAAAAACCAAAGAAGAATATTTATGCAGATATATAATTGATAGCTTATAAATGACCGGGTCAACCATCAGGAAAAGCCTTATTAAACAAAAACATTATTTAAGTATTTAGTGAGAACTCATTCTGAGTGGTGGGTGGAGAGGTCAGACAACATTGCACGAAGCAGTCATTATCCCACACTTTCCAAGTGGATGATCCCATAACTTTCCTTACCACGTAAAATCCAGTGTGGGGTGGTCTTTTGGGGGAGGGAGGGAGGGGGCAAGGAGCTGTGCTTCCCAAGAGTACCAAATCAGCTTTAATCACACAACCTGAATTTGCTGGCATGTGATTCAATCCCAACCAGAAAACAGAAAATCTGGATGCACTCTAGCACAGCGGCTGTTCCTAAGTGTGATGCAAGATTTTGAGTGCTTCCATCATAAAAGATGACTCAAAAGGACCCATTTATCAGTTCCCTGTTTGTAACCAGCAATGCTGGATAGAGGTTCTGCAGCCTTCCATGCCGCAACTGGGTGGGATTACATTAGTTGTCTCCCTCCACCCATTCCTTTAGAAGGGGGCTGGGGTGGAGAGAGAGAGTGATAGAGATTGAGGATGCTGCATTGTTTAAGGAACCAGCAGCAGAGACCCAAAAGAAAAGAGCTAGTGACCCCACACTGACCCCAACACAACCCTAACGCTTGTCAGAAAGCTGATTTCTGCTGTTTGCCTCTTGAGCTCGCTGACTTTGGTGTGTAGATTACAGGTACAAGAACAATGGGGATTGTTCTGCCCAACAATGCTCCTTGCTCTACACCACTCAGTCACTTGAGATAGCCTCCCCCCTCCCCCAATTAAGCACCACTCTCTTCTAGCCTTGTCCCTTTCCAAACTCTCCCAATTTAAAGGTGCCTGCTTCCCCATCTCTCGTCCCTCTCCATTATCCTGCTTTGCTTTTGTGACAACCCTCTGGTCCACCCAACAAGTTATAAAATGACCAAAGACTTGCCATAAACACAGATGGGGGAGAGCATGAGACAGGCAGTGAAAGTTCCCCTCTGGGTGTCCCCTTTTTTATTGTGCATCCATGATGATTTGTGCCCACGATGGCATCAGGAAGGTTTTAAAAAAACTGTTGTTCCGAAGGACACTGCCTCTTGACAATGGAGGCAGAGCATAGCCCCCGTGGCTAGCAGCCACTGGTGGCAGCCTTATCCTCCATCATTTTGTCTAATCCTGTTTCAAAGGTAAAGGGACCCCTGACCATTAAGTCCAGTTGCGGACGACTCTGGGGTTGTGACGTTCATCTCGCTTTATTGGCTGAGGGAGCCGGCATACAGCTTCTGGGTCATGTGGCCAGCATGACTAAGCTGCTTCTGGCGAACCAGAGCAGCGCACGGAAATGCTGTTTACCTTCCCACTGGAGCGGTACCTATTTATCTACTTGCACTTTGACATGCTTTCAAACTGCTAGGTTGGCAGAAGCAGGGACCGAGCAACGGGAGCTCACCCCGTAGCGGGGATTCTGTAATAAACGAAAATCTGCCCTTATTCCCTTATGGGGGACACAAGAGCCCTTATAGAGTCCTTTGTAGGTTCTCCATCAGTCAGAGAAAAGAACAGAGGCCAACCAGAGAATATTGAGAAGCAAAGCAGCTCGTAAGCCTGATCTTTATTGAACTGTTGCAACAGGGTGCTCCCCTCACACGCAGGAAAGGAGCAGGACCCAGAACCCAGGTGTGCCCGCCCTTATATAGACATTTTAAATTGCCCGCCCTGGAGTCCAAGACCACCCCCCAGACACATCATACCTACATCACAGAAGTGCGTTGTTTATCTCCTGTCTGGCAGGTTACCTGTTAATGCTTACTTGATTGGATACTCTGGGGAGCCTGGCCAGTATTTTGTAGTGACAAATACTTAGTTCCTGAGCCAGGTCACAGGCTCACCCTATTCATACACAGATATACCCTTTTGTGAATAAAAAGACAATGGGGAGGATTTCCCATTTTCCTTTGACCTTGCAGAGAAAACATTTGGTCAGTCTGGGAGCCAAAATGGCTCCAGGACTGCCCTCCTGTGCTACCTCAGACATGTGGCCCATACATATGTGTACGTGTTTGCCTGTATGTATATATGACCTTAGTTTTTTATTTCAATTCGAACTGCCAGCCTTCTGATCGGCAAGCCCTAGGCTCTGTGGTTTAACCCACAGTGCCACCCGCATCCCTATCCTCTATATTCACATTTCTCATACCATGAAATTTTTTATACACCTCTGTCGTGCTGCCTCCAACTCGCCTCTTCTCTAAACTAAAAAAGCCCAAATGCTGCAACCTTTCTCCCCGTAGGGGTTCCTCATCTTGGTTGCCCCTTTCTGAACCTTTTCCAAACTCTGCACGGTCTTCCAAATATGGACATGCCATAGATCTGTCCAGCACTCTGTTCTCACAGTGGCCAGCAAACAGCAAACAAAGCCCGAATGCACTCTGCTCACCTGCAATTCCCAGCAACACAATACCAGCATTTACGAGATTTTGTAAATGCTGGTATAACAAACAGTCTCTACTACTGAGTTCCCCGTTGTCTGTTTTTGATTGTAAGCTTCTTGCAGGCAGTCAACTACTTCTGGTTATGTCACTTTGTTAAGTCGTCATTTATTCTGCAATGTACTATAAACAGCAAACACCGCAAGTGCTTATAACAGTGTTTGCTGGGGAAACACATAATTCTCATAATTCTCATATTCCTTACCTGGCATTTTGCTTGGTGGGGAAGAGCTGGGTTGCGCATGATGGGGGGAATTGTGGGAGAGCAAAAGGTTCATGCTGTGAGGTTGGCCCGTGCTGTAAGCATCCATAGCCAGCTTCTGACGAAAAGCCTCCTCTTTCCTCCGGTTCGCAAACCAGTTGTAGACCCGGACTTCCGTCACCAAATTCGAACCCAGTCCATGTGCCTTAGAGGGGGATACGCCCCGCTGGTGGCATTCTGCCCTAGGAGGAGAAAAATAAAGAGAGCTCATTGAGAAAGCTTGCAATAAAAGCCTTCGGTAGGCAACCAGAGCTATCCTGGCACTGCTGGATCAGGCCAGTGGTCCACCTAGTTCAGCATCCTGTTCTCACAGTGGCCAACCAAATGCCTATGGGAAGCCCACAAACAGGACCTGAGCACAACAGGATCCGTCCTTCCTGTGGTTTCCAGCAAACTGGCATTCAGAAGCATACTGCCTCCAGCAATGGAAGCACTTTAAAGACATAATGAATTTATTATGGGATAGGCTTCTACGGATGACAGATTCCACCGGCGTTCAGAAAACCTTATGAGGACTTAATGGAGGTAACAGTGGCTGTCTAGATGCTGCTGATGTGTTACAAGTTGAGCTGTTGAGCTGATTTCTTACAAGCTCAGAACTAATATTATGAGGCACTGGTAACAGTTTAGTGTGGCAGCACCTACAATTTGAAACTCCCTGCCTATTGACATCAGGTAGTGCCTTTGCTGTACTCCTTCCGGCACCTGCTAAAAAAAAGTTTTCGTTCAGGAAAACCTATGTTTTCCTGATATGGATATGTAAAAGCTAAAATGTGCTTTGTTTTTAGCTTAACTCTTGATTTTACTTATATTTAGGATTGCGCGCACACACACACACATTTTCAACTTTAGTCTTTTATTGACTTTTTAAAATAATAAATGGCTTAGAATTTTGATTTATAGTCAATTGGTATATAAATTTTGCCACATAAATAAACAAAAGTCCCATCATTCCTGACCACTGGCCACACTCAATAGGGACTTATGGGAGCCGAAAACCCAAGGTGAAAGTCAAGCTTTGCACAGCAGGAGAGGGTATTTTGGTTCTATCAATCGCATGGCCTGGACTATCTTCTCTACCCCCAGAGCAATCTGAGCATCAGCAGGAACACCAGCTGAACAAAGCAAAAATGATCCAAGGCAGTGCTGATTGGTGCCCATTGGACAGGCAGAGGGGACCAATTCTAGTTTTGTCTGTATCCTCCTCCCTGCTGAGTTATACAAGGGCAACACTGAGACTGCGGAGGAAGATGACAGCCAGTCTCAACCCCTGGCCTGATGATTAGTAAGGGGGCAGGCGAGTTGGAGGCTTGCTGAGGGCAGACTGGGATTGGTAGGGCAGTTCTCCCAAACAGATCAGCCTCCACTTCACAAAGGGCTCTCAGGAATCCATAAGGATCCATCAGCCTCCAAGGTGGGACGTTCTGATAGGTTTACTGCAGAAGGAAATTAACATACTTATATAAAACGTGGCCTTCCTTTTAAGCCAGGTTATTACAGAAAAGAGAGACTCTAAATAAAATAAGTACTATAACAGGTTGGTGTTTTTAATTTGAGACAAATTTAAATTTGCCTGCCTGTTGAGATCAAGGAGGCATTGTCACAGGACTCTTTCTGGTGCCTGCTAAAAACTTACTTGTTTACACAAGTTTACCCGGATGCTTAGAACAGGCATAGGCAAACTCCGGCCCTCCAGATGTTTTGGAACTACAATTCCCATCATCCCTAGCTAACAGAACCAGTGGTCAGGGATGATGGGAATTGTAGTCTCAAAACATCTGGAGTTTGCCTATGCCTGCTTAGAAGGTTGAAGTTTCATTTGTTTTAGCAATTAAACTTTTTGTGTTTTGAAGTGTGGTTGTAAATTTTTCTTGATTTCCTTGTTTCATCTTTTTGCAAAACGCTTTTAGTTTTTTTGCAGTCAAGCGTTGTATAAATCTTATGAAATACTGTACATTAAATAAATATTTGTTTGCTTAAATCATCTTATTTATCATCATCAATCTTTAAAAGGGCTACATGGGAACTTGTGCAGATGGAACGAAAGTACAAAAATGCATTCAAATTATTTCTGAAACTGCTCCAGGCATATAATAGTGATGTAAAGGTTGTTATTCACCACGAACCCTTTCCAGCACATCTTTTTAAAATGCATAAACACATGCCTATGAATGCTTCTGGGGCCTTCTAGCCCCCTCCCAAAGGGTGTGGGTATATAAACCTCTGCCTTTTGCATGGCTGAAATACAACCTACTGTAAAATGTAGGGATCATACCATTGCTTTGCCCAGGTCTGCAGTAGTGACTGGTTGCACATCACCAAATGCTGCCCTCAATGAAATATTGCCATTGGACTGGAAAAAGTTGCTCAACTCAACACTAGGAGCTCAACCGTTGTATTTAATCCATTTCAATATTGTATTTTTATATCGTCATAATCTGCCCTGGGGCCATTTTTGTGAAGAGCGGCTTGTAAATCCCAATGAGAATAACCAGATTATATTTTGCTTTCAGCCACCTACAGAACCAGGGGCCATTATACATCCCTTGTGGAGGCCCCGTTAACTACGAACCCCACAGTTTGGGATCCCCTCCAAACCTGTGCCAAAGTTTTGCAGTGAAAACCCCACGTTTGGGCACAGGTTTGGAGGGGGATCCCTAATTTGGGGGTCCGTTGTTAACAAGCCTCCTCAGGAACTGAATTTAACTTGGTGGAGGGCTGAGTCTCAAACTCCTGCAGGCGTTACCCTCTTCCCGGGTAGCTTTTTCCTCTCCAGTTGTTGACTTATTCTAGATGGTGAGAATACCAGGTTCTTTTTCCTTTGACACAGGACGTGCCAGACACTTCACACAATGGGGGTTAACGAAAACAATGCAGGCTTTGCCCTCTGCCAACAACTAATTAGAAGCAAGACAGGGGGGAAGACGCCTTTGTCTTTTGTGCAGGGTTTAAGTTTTAGGCGTTTATTTCCCCCCCCTTATTTCTGTTTACCTGTTGCACTCCTCAACCAGGGCCTCCCTTTCCTCCTTGTTGGGGTTCTTTTGCCGGTCATAGGCCTGGTACAAGATCTGCTGCGAAGCAGGGCCCCACTTGAACCGGTTCCGCCTCATCTTCTTGCTGGGCGTTTCAGCGCAGGGGTCGTCCAGCTGACCCACCCCCTGGCTTTGCTGGTTGAACTCTGGAAAGAGAAACAGCAGCTGATCTTGACTGCTTTTGTCTGTCATATTTCCCGAACCCTGGACTGTCTGGTTGAATTCTGAAAAGAGAAAGGAGCAGATTTTGATCGGGCCTATAGCCGCCGCCACTCAACAAGAAAACCTTCATTGCACAAGAGTTCACTTCACTTCATGGAAGTCAGCCAGTCTGAGCAAGCTTCTCCTATATGCATAGCTGTCAATGTTTCCCTTTTTTTAAGGGAAATTCCCTTATTCCAAATAGGATTCCTCGCAAGAAAAGGGAAAAGTTGACAGCTATGCCTATATGATGTAATTTGCTGAGGCAAACTAGGCCCGCATCTGGGGCAAGGGTAGTCTTAATGTTAGGGTTGCCATATCTCAAACAGTGAAAACCCGGACAGAAGAAAAAGTTGTTGGCTTGGCAACCTCTGAATGTTATTGGACTACAACTCCCATCAGCCCCAGTGGACAGGAATGATGGGAGCTGGAGTCCATCCACACCTGGAGACACTGCCCTTGGCTATTCCCCTGACGTGCTTTTGAATTGCTAGGTTAAGTGTGGGGAGAGCAGGCAACAACCCCTCTGGAGATCTTATTTGGCCCAAGGGACTGCAATTGCTTCCCACTACAACAATTACAATCCTCCATTTTGTACAGATTGTGTGATTAAGGAAACACATCGAGCTTTTAAAAACCTCTTTCCAGTGAAGGAAGGCACATGACGGGCCCATTTCTTTGAACGTGCTACAGTGAATTGGTGAGCTGGAAACCTGCTTTCAAGCAGAGAAGCCGCAGATGGGAGCAATCTGCAGGAATATTTCTGTGGAGTTGCAGCCCCAATGTCTCCCTGTTTCCAAACAGGGAGACGTTGTGGCTACAGAGTGAGGGGCTTTAGTAAACAATGGAAGTGGTGAGCACACTAGTTTCTGACAAAAAAAAATGGGGAGAACAGTGCGTCTAAATTTTACCTCATAGGTGCAAATGCTAGAAACATATTTTTTAAAATGAAAACTGGGAATCTGGGGGTTATGTTTCATCAGGTCGGGGACTGCCCCCTTACCCGCCCCATGTATATTCGTGAACAGAAGGGAATGCTTAACCCTTCTTGAGATTCACCCCCCCCCCCAAAGCTATTTTTCTTCCACTCCAAGCTCACATTGAGATGATCCCAGCTAAAAGAAAAAGTAGCCTCTCCTTCCACCAGGTGTTTTTCCCCTTGAAAATTGCTCAGTGGCAGTCCACGTTCAAAGGCCCAGGCTCGACATATAGTTTTCCACCCCAAGACAAGCAATGTTGAAACTTCAATCTAGCGAGGGACAAATAGCTCAAAAAGGCTCCAGTGTGCTTATTGTTTATTTGTTCACTTACTGCATTTAGAGAATTCCCCGCCCTTTCGTTAAAAAAATCCCCCTGACAGCTGAATAATAATAATAATGATAAAAGACATACAATAAATACCCTTTGTTTGTAGGCAATAACTGTATTTTCTTAGCTATTAGCCATGGCAAAATTGTTTGTAGGTAATAACTGTATTTTCTTAGATATTAGCCATGACAAAATAGAAAGCAAAAAGCTAAACAAGTTTAAAAATTTCAACACAAGAGACATAGAAGAGCAGAATACTGTAATAAAATCTGGCTGAGCCAATAAAAGTGACTTATTCAATATGCTAGGAAAATTTAAAAAGACATTAGATTTGGTGCCAAGCAAACCTCCCTGGGGAGGGAATCCTACATATGGGACCACCAGCTGTGCCCCCCCCTTGCCCTCTCTCAATCCAGAAGTAGCAGGAGACTAGAGGAAGTTGACTACCAAGCCAGGGCTTGTGTGTAAGAAGCAGGCAGCTGATCTCAAGTTAAGCCCTTTAGGTCAGGGGTGGGAAACATCTGTAGCCCTCCACATGTTCATGGACTCCATCTCCCATCAGCCCATCCAACAGAGTCAGTGGTTAGGGCAAGCCCACACAGAAGGGGCAGCCGGGAACCCTTGCCCCGGGCCCTGGAGGGCTATGCCAGACTTATGTTGTCATGCCAAGAACACCCCATGGCTCCTTGCCGCCCCAGGTCTCAGACAAGCCCTAGAAGGGACCTAGCTTCAGGCTATAATTCTGTGTACACTTAGGTCCCATCTGCACTAGACTTTTAATGCAGTATCATACCAGTTTAAATTGCTGTGGACCCCAAGTATGGGTTCTTATGTAGCCAAAATCCATGCAGAAGAAGCCGACTTGGAAGAACCCAAGGTTTGCACAAGTACAAAAGATTTATGGCGGGAGATCTCAGTGCAAACTGAGAATCGTAAGTGGGCACAGAATACTGACTGACTGTGAGAGGGGCAGAAAAGCAGGAGGTGGAAAGGATTGTCTGGTTTAGGGTATGACTGGCTGCCTGCCTGTTACCCTCAATAGGAGGAGAAGCCACAAACTAACCAAAAGCTACGACAAACTGCAGCTGCATTCACAGCATAATGTGAAGTCATGGGTTTTGTTTTACCAGTTGGTTCAAGCAAACTGTGAGTTGTCTCACAGATGAGCAAACAAACCAAGGTATGTTTCGCCAGAGCTTTTTGTTTTCCAGCTGCTCTTGACAAGCATTTGAGGTGACTGCCCCAACAAGACATGTTTATTCAAGGCTTGGGCTCAGAGGTGTAACAAACCATGGTTATAAGCCATCAGCAAGCCATGGTGTTTGAGCAGAGGCTAAATGGGCCACCAGTAAAGGCCACCACAGGATCCTACACTGAAGATCGTATGAATCAGGGAGTTTCACTTGAATGACTTCCAAGGTCCTGTCCAACTCTGTATGGTTCTGTGTCTCTAGAGAGGTTGGTCTTAGCCCCTTGGCCCACCAAGACCCTAATCAAGTCGTGAGTTTGAACTGCCTGTAAGGTTGACATTTTCTCTCTCTGGGCTTGCATACACCAGAGAAAAATGTGGATTTGCACCAGTCTGTTTCCCCATTAATTTAGGGACATCAATATGATGTCTTCCCCATCCCAGATCTCTCCCTGCTTTAAATGTGGGCCTTTTTGATCTTTGGAAATTTTGAAACAGCCAGGTATCAAAAATCTTGCATTTAAAACGGAGGTGGGTCCAGGAAAACTCTGGAATGATGTTCACATTTTGGTCTTGTGTGGACAAACTCTCTTTCTCTTCCTAGCACCCGAGAAATTCAGAAGGTTAAGCTTTTCCTGCATGTTGAAAACCTGAGCTGCTATATTTCTGCCTTTTGTGTGGCTGTTTAAATTCTCAGAAATTTTGCCAAGATAAAAAGAAAAGAGGTGGGGATTTTTTAAGGTGGGGCAAGAATCTTATACGTGTTGGCTAATTGAGAAGCTCTGATCTACCTCAGATCTATTCATCAAAAACAGTGATAATTATACTTTGCAATGCCTCCTTGGTATCTCGTGCCCTGCTTAAACCTGGTGCCATAAAACAAAAGAAAGCAAAACAAAAGTCAACCAGTTTATCTTTGGATGTGTCAGAACGCAACCAGCTAATTGGATCACTCTGTCCGCATGACATTGTCCTCCCCAAGGCAATCTTGCTGCATTTTGACACAATAGCCTATTTAAATTTACTCAGATCTCTGTAGACAAGCCTGGAAGGTAATTCTACCAGAGAAGAAAGCCCGGGTCGCTCTTCCGGTGCCACAATGCCAAACAACAAAAACAAAATGAAACGTTTGTGTACGGGATTGGCCGGGCGGAGGGGGGGAGGAGAGCAGAGATGACAGAAACCCAACTTTCCAGATGGGAGGTGACAGAATATGTGGCACAATCCTATAAACAGCTACTCAAAACTAAGGCCCACTGAGCTCAACGGGGCTAATGCCCAGATAAGTGATAACAAGATTATCTTAGCCTCAGCTCCCTGATCAATAGGGTAGGTGAGGCTCAGTGATAGAGCACTCAGAAGCTTTTGTCCTTTGTCTGCAGATCACGGTGGAGCAGGATGAAGTGCAGTTCTCCAAATACTGTTGGACTAACACTCCCTTCACATTGGCCATGCTAGCTGGGGGATGATGGGAGTTGTAGTCTAATAACATGTGAAGAGTGGCACAGGTCCCCCATCCCCTGAAATAGAAGGGTAGCCCAGGAAGCTGCCTTAATACTGAGTAAGACCAGTGGTCTGTCTAGCTCAGAGATCAGCAAACGTTTTCAGCAAGGGGTGGGTCCACTGTTCCTCAGACCTTGTGGGGGGCTGGACTATATTGGGGGGGGGGTTAAACAAATTCCTATGCCCCACAAATTACCCAGAGATGCATTTTAAATAAAGGACACATTCTACTCATGTAAAAACACGCTGATTCCCGGACCATCCGTGGGCCGGATTTAGAAGGCCATTGGGCCAGATCTGGCCCCTGGGCCTTAGTTTGCCTACCCTGCCTAGTTCACTATCATCCATGCTAAGGGTAGCCATCATGGTATAGCCCAGATATTTTGGACTAACTACAACTCTCATCGGCACGAGCCACCATAGCCAATGCTCAGGGATGATGGAAGCCATAATCAATATTGGCTGCCCCTGGTCTACTTGGAATCATAGGATTGTAGAGTTGGAAAGGAGACAGAGGGCCGTCTTAATCCAAACCCCTGCAATGTGGGAATCTCAAACACATGGTCCTCCCATTGGAAACCATACCAAACCTTGCTTAGCTTTGCAAATGTGCTAGAACATTTTCTAATCTTGCCTGGAGATGCTGCAGATTGGGACCCTATGACTGGAATAAGGTAAAGGTAAAGGGACCCCTGACCATTAGGTCCAGTCATGACCGACTCTGGGGTTGCGGCGCTCATCTGGCTTTATTGGCCGAGGGAGCCGGCATACAGCTTCTGGGTCATGTGGCCAGCATGAGTAAGCCGCTTCTGGCGAAGCAGAGCAGCGCACGGAAACGCCGTTTACCTTCCCGCCGGAGCGGTACCTATTTGTCTACTTGCGCTTTGATGTGCTTTTGAACTGCTAGGTTGGCAGGAGCAGGGACTGAGCAATGGGAGCTCACCCCGTCGCGGGGATTCGAACCGCCAACCTTCTGATCAGCAACTCCTAGGCTCTGTGGTTTAATCCACAGCACCACCCGTGTCCCTATAATGGCTGGAATAAAAACCACATGATCTCTGGTTACTGGCTACATTGGCTGGGGTTAACAGAAGAAGAGCCCTGCTGGATCAGGCCCATCTAGTCCAGCATCCTGTTCTCACAGTGGCCAACTAGATGCCCCAATGGGAAGCCCACAAGCAGGACCTGAGTGCAACAACACTATTCTCCTCACTTGGGGTTCCCAGCAATTGGCATTCAAAGGCACATTGCCTCAGGCAGTGGAGGTAGAGCGCAGCCAACGTAGAACATCCTTCTGTGGTGGTGGAACTGCAGCATCTCAACCGCATGGCAAGTGCATGTCAACAGGTCACCAGCTGGAACCCAGTCTCTTGTCAAGTTACACAATGTGGATGCATGCACACAAACACACGCAACAACTGCAAAAAGAAAATATGTACTTACGCCGGAGAATCTCCCTCTGCTTCCGGACGTACCACGTATAGAGAGCCGCCCGCTTCTGCGTTTTCATGGGCGTCCCCTTGTTGAGATGTTGCGAGAGATGGGACTGATTCAGCCCAGTGACATCCACCACCTCCCTCTGGGGGATGTTGTGTTGCTGCATGTAACCCTTGATCATCTTCGCCGCTCGCCAAGGGTCCTCGCTAGGAAAGGGGGGAAATGACAGTTAACCACCGCTCTGTAGAAGGCACTAGAAGAAATAGTTTTAGGCATGTAAAATGTTTGGAGTGTTGAGGATCAAAAAGTAGGGTGGGGAGTTATGCTTTTTCCCTTGAGGGGAAAAGCACATTTGGAGAGAAATTTGTTTAAAATTTACCTGATGACTCAACCCAGGGTGGTTCTAAAATATTTGCCGCCTGAGGCTGAATAGCAAAACAGCATCCTTTCCCCCGCCCCCAACAAAGGCACCCAGGCCAAAGAGCTGTTTGACAGTGGAACGGACTCCCTCAGGATGTTGTGGACTCTCCTTCCTTGGAGGTTTTTAAGTAGGGATTGGATGGCCATCTGTCATGGATGCTTTAGTTGAGATTCCTGCATTGCAGAGAGTTCCCCATTCCTCTCAGTAAAAATGCAACAACAACAAATAATTAAATAACTATTTGCTGCCCTTTCATGTCACCCAAAGCATCTGCCTAGGCAAGCCACTTCACAATGCCTAATGGCAGGGCCGGTCAGAAGCTGACTAGAAGCCATGACGCAATGATGCAGGACAGAATTAGCCATTCATAGATTCAGGTCTTTAAATAAGCCAAGAAACCCACTTGTACGTACACAAACACATACACGAAGTTATTTGTGTTTTGACTTTTATAAAATGAATCATAGAGCCACTCTGGGAAATTCTAGATACACATTACTGGTTCTAACTGGAAATCACTCCAAGGCTGACTCAAGTGTGTGAAGAAGACGCATAACACTCACAGCCTGAAATTTCACCTCAGATGTGATGGCCTCCCGTTTGCTCTGCTCTCAAGGGCTGACCTCCGTTGTGAGGTAAAACTTCATGCCCTCATTTTGAGGGAGAAATATAGAAATTGCCTCTACCTTCCTGATTTTTTAAAAAATCACCAGAGCGTGTTGAGTTACTCATGGACCAAATTACAGGTCTCTCGGACATGTGAAAGTACGTAGTCTAATAATGTTGGCATCCCATAAGAGAGTGGCATTTAAATTTCACACATTATCTCACACTGGGCATTGCAAAATGGCCACTCACCACTATTACCAATATGAAGTCCAGAACAGGGGGCAGTAGCTGCCTGAGGGTGGCCAGATTCATCTTTGTGATTAATCCACATCTGAGCAGGACATTGAAGCTTCAACAGGTGGACAAAGCGCTTCAATGTGGGAAGGGGGGCGTAAATAAGAGTATCCACCGTCTGCACTCAGTGTGGAAATTAAATGTAAACTCCTCTGGCCTTCAGTCCCCTCACAAGTACCCCACACCAAAAAAATTATCCTGCCACATTATTCTTTTAAAATGTCTTTTTATTGCAACAGACCAATATGGCTATACATCTGGAGTTTGTCACTAACCAACTGAAAATGTTGCCTCTGAACATTTTCTCACTCTACCAGGGAGTGCACAGTTGACAGTGGCAACTTTTCTTACAAAACCACACCACTTTGCGATCTCTTTTCTTGCCTTGTGTACCCAGAGTTATTGGATGGAAGTCAGGCCCTTTGCTGAGTCACAGAAATGTACGATAGCTACATGCACGAGGTCAGGAAAACACACCAATCCTCCGACAAACATTGGAAGTTGCCCAATCACAGGCGGCTTGCGGGTTTGTGGTTTCGGATAAGTTTTGTCACTGAGTTTACCTGCCCTGCTCTCCCTCCCTCAGAGTCTCAGGCATCTTCACAACAAGGGTAGGCAAATAAAACCCCACAACATCCTCCCAAGAAATATGCCAAGAATTTATTCTCCTGGATTATAAAAAAACACACACCCTGGCTCTCTGGATTAAGAAAACCTATCTTAACTATATCTGCACTGACATACAAAGGGGATTCTGCCGAGTCAGGCATAGCAGAGACACAAACTTCTTCCTCCAAAATCTGCCCTTTCCCTCAGTGCCAGCCACCACCTGTCTCATATCTGTTAAGGGTTCCTTGAAATTGGTGGGGGGTTTTGTGGGTACATTCTACAATATGTTTTCGACCCAATAATTGAACATTTGTGGTGGATTTATCCTGTTTTCGTTGGTGCCGTGGGGCTTCCCTACTGGTACATCCCATTATTGCTGTCTGGAAGAGGTAAGGTAAAGGGACCCCTGACCATTAGGTCCAGTCGTGACCGACTCTGGGGTTGCAGTGCTCATCTCACTTTATGGGCCAAGGGAGCCGGCGTACAGCTTCTGGGTCATGTGGCCAGCATGACTAAGCTGCTTCTGGCGAACCAGAGCAGTTTACGGAAACACCATTTACCTTCCCGCCAGAGTGGTACCTATTTATCTACTTGCACTTTGACGTGCTTTCGAACTGCTAGGTTGGCAGGAGCAGGGACTGAGCAACGGGAGCTCATCCCGTCGCGGGGATTTGAACTGCCGACCTTCGGACCAGCAAGCCCTAGGCTCTGTGGTTTAACCCACAGCACCACCCGCGTCCCTGTCTGGAAGGGGTACAGCGCAACAAAAGCAGAGCAAAAGTTAACCAGAATATTGGCGGTATCAGAAAGCAATGGGATTTCAGCAGGCAGTTGCAGGATATGTGTTGTTTGGCAACGAAGCAGCAGGCACAAACAGCGTTGAAAAGCAGGACCGTGTGGGACTGACCCTAATACTAAAACGATAAAAAATAATCATGAACACACAATAAAAAGGGTGTCTGGAGATATCCCAAGTTACAAAGTGCCTCTAGACTCTCTGTTACTTTTTTGTAACTAACCAGTAACAAAACGCCGTTGTATGAAGTGTTTCTCCCACACCCAAGAACTGTTCTTTACCCCTCACAGCTACAATTCCCAATATTCTTTGCAGGGTGAGGGAATGTGATCTAAATGTGCTTTTAATTGTATGGTGTTTATGGAGCCTGTGCCAGCCATGCCTTCCTCCACGGTACTCCAATCTGTTCCCCTCCACCTCCAGTTCTTCATTTCCCTCCCCATCCACATTGCCATGAGTCCCAAAGTGCTGCAAGGCTCAGGAGTGCAGTGGCAGACCTTAAGACAGATGACGGAGGCTGGGGAACAGGAGGATGAGACCAGGGTGGAATCTAAAAAACGTTCTGAAAATTATTTTTTTAAAGCGTTTTTAAAAATACATTTAATTTTCCATAAGGCTCACCATCGCCATCTAGTGTCACATTGTATATTGCATGTAAAACATACTCCAAACGTCGTATTTTCAGCTGTATAGCTGAGTCCCAGGAAAGAGACTGGAGGAGACATGTACCGGTACTTCTCCCTTTCCAGGATTAAGCTTGTCCTTGCTAAGGAACCAGGACTCCCATCTACCCTCTTCCCTCATGGGGACATGAGCCAGCTACTGAATCCACGGAGGGTGCCAGCCAACCACTAGGGCTGGAGGAACCGGAGTCAGAAACCCTGGAGAGATGCTGCCAATCAGTGTGGGCAATACTGAGCGGGACATATTAATGGTCTGACTCAGCTACCTGTGTTCCTAACATAGTGAGCAAGCTTTCTTGAGTTCCTATGAAAGGCATTATTATCATGCTGTTATTACTTCCGGTTGTTGTTTTTTTTATGATCTAACAAGGTTATCCTGACGACTACGATACTTTCTAAGGGACTCAGGTGGCGCTGTGGGTTAAACCACAGAGCCTAGGACTTGCCGATCAGAAGGTCAGCGGTTTGAATCCCCATGACAGGGTGAGCTCCCGTTGTTCGGTCCCAGCTCCTGCCAACCTAGCAGTTTGAAAGCACGTCAAAGTGCAAGTAGATAAATAGGTACTGCTCCGGCGGGAAGGTAAACGGCGTTTCCATGCGCTGCTCTGGTTCACGAGAAGCGGCTTAGTCATGCTGGCCACATGACCCAGAAGCTGTATGCCGGCTCCCTTGGCCAGTAAAGCGAGATGAGCGCCGCAACCCCAGAGTCGGCCACGACTGGATCTAATGGTCAGGGGTCCCTTTACCTTTACCTAACAAGGTACCTGAAAGCTTAATAGCAATAACAACTTGTTGCATAAAACAGTGACGTGATCAGACCACTGTCCCCACTGTGGAAGGACATGTGGATCCAGAATTGGCCTCCACAGTCACTTACGGACTCATTGTTAAAACCGTGTTTATGGAAGACAATCTTACTCAGCTACAAGTGATCGAAGAAGAAGAAGAAGAAGAAGAAGAAGAAGAAGAAGAAGAAGAAGAAGAAGAAGCAGAAGCGTACACATTGAAAGCACATTTATAGCATATTTCTCCCCTCCCCCAATACTGGGAAATGTAGTTAAGAGTGCTGGGAATTGTAGCTCTGGGTGTAAACTACTGTTCCCAGGATTCTTTTCAGCGTGTGTGCTTTAAATGTATGGTAGGTACAATGTCCTAGATGCCCTTAAAGAATAATTGTATGTGTCATGAAACGTGTGTCCATACTCCCTAAATCAAAGATGGGTCTTCCAGGTGTTGGGCTACCTTCAACCCTAGCCAGCAGGACCAGTGATTATGACAGCCATAGTCCAGCAGCATCTGTAGAGACACGGGGCCACCGCCCCTACCCTAGGTGGCAAAATAAGTTCTCATGGGATGGATGTGTGCTTATTATTTTGTGCTTATCACCCGGTACACAGAGGGCCTGTGGGCGGGCCTGAACTAGGCTCCCTACCGCCAGCCTCTTCTCCAGGTACAAAGGCTCCCTTTAAAGCAAACAGGGACCTGGTTGCAAAAGCCTCTTTGGGGCCATGGGATTGATCTTTTGTTTGCACAGGAGGGAAACTTTGCCCTGACACTGGAAACCCTGGAGCACTAAGGGCAGGGACTCTGTGGGTCTTCTCCATCCCAAACTGCACTGGGGAGAGGACTGAACCTGCAGTGGCATCATGATTCAGGTTGTGTTTCCTCAGCTGAGGTCTACCTCTTCACCGCTCTTGGATATTCATTTGATCCAGGGGAGGGGAGCCTCTGGCTCAGAGGCTGGAAATGGGCTTCCAATTCTCTTTATCGGGCACGTAGGAGTCTCCGCAGCCCATGCCAGCCACTGGTCCACCTTGGGTGTTTTGTTTAGCTGGAATCTGTTCTTGATAATATCTCCTCCTTGCCCGGATGAGAGAAGTGAGTGGTTGTGCAGGGGCAGGAACACCTGGTTTATTCATAGTTGGAATGTTGGCTATTCCACAAAGGTAAAAGCCACATCTCTCTTGCTCTGCCCACTTGCTCTGCCCATCAACTTTTTCTCTGGCCTCTCTCCACTATGGGCATGTGGTCCCTGGAAAGCTGCTCACGAGAGAAAGCGGCCCTTGCGCCCCTCCCAGGTCAGCTAGCAAAAAAGTTAAGCAATCACAGTTAAACAGATTCAAAGAAAAACATTAAATTGAGAATATTAAAAGCAGTCAGCTGATTTTTTTAAAAAAATAGCAATCAGCACAAAAGCAATGTACAGAATATTTTAAAGCCGGGGTAGTGGTGTTGGAAGATGGAAGACATGGCATTGAATATTTATACTGATTTTTAATGGCATTTTTATTGCTTCTTTTATGTCTTCTATTGTATTTTGCAATAAAAGAAGCAATAAGCATACAATTGAAAACCATTCAACATCAAACACAGTGAACGGCAATCAACAGAAAACACAGAAAAACCCACCAAGAGACCCTAAGCAATTTTCAAATGGTCTGTGCGGGTAAAAAAAGAGGAAGGAACCACTGCTCTAATATTAATATAGGTTATAGGTCCCCCATGGACCAGGAAGTTGCAACTCTGGGTGGCCTTCAAACAGCAAACTCCTGTTTGCTTTTTAATTATGCACTGAAGACTGGTCTCTTTTGGTCGTCTGCTTTATGAGCCATGAGAACACACAATTTAGTCAAGTCACAAGAACTGTCATTACAGTCCACCACCCCCACCCCTCCACCCCATGACCTGGGGGGGGGGGAGGAAGAAAGAAAGAAACAGCTTTTAGGCTGAACAGCACCAGGTAAGCTATACTGTGACATCTCTGACTCAATCCAGTTCATAACCAGTCTGCACTCATAATCAGATGTGGAAAATCACCTCCTACCCCAACATAGAAGGCAAAAAGACAAAAGAAACAGGTGATCAAGTAAGGTGGGGAATCTCAGGCCCAGAAGTCAAATGTGGCCTCTGGACCTCTCTGTCTGGCCCTCAAGAAGTCTCTCCCCACACCTCACCCCCCACTAGCACAGTATTGCACCCAAAATCTTTTTTGCCTGTCTGGAATGAGTCCTTGGACTGTGATAACGCCTCTCACTTGCCTGAATGAAAGATAGAGAGAGGGGTGGGAGTGTGTGTAGGAAACAGCCGAGTACTATACAAAGGTAATATTTACATTTGCTGCTTAGACCACTTTTACCTCTGGCCCCACCCACCACTGGCCCCTGCAGGGTTGATCAGTAGGGAATGAAGGCCTAAGAGTGAAAAAATTACCCCAGTCCTGAATTACTGGGATGGGTGGGAAAGGATCTCTTCCAAAACACAGGTACTCCCCTACCAAACTACCCAAAATTATGTCCCAGGTGCATGATAATTCCTCAACAGTGTCTATCTTTGGTTGTTACATGTTTCAAAAGGGGAGGGGGAATAAAGACAACAATGTGTATAGAGGTTGAGTTGGATTTCCATTCCCTTCCCTTCCTGTCCTTCTCCCCTTGTGTGTATCAGCAGCAGCAGCAGCCTGTAGGCAGCGACTGTCTTGATTTAATTCCTGCATTGAACTAGATGACCCATGAGGTCCCTTCTAACTCTATAATTTTATGATTCTATGAATTGATTAAACCACAGAGCCTAGCACTTGGTTCGAATCCCCGCGACGGGGTGAGCTCCCGTTGCTCGGTCCCTGCTCCTGCCAACCTAGCAGTTCGAAAGCACGTCAAAGTGCAAGTAGATAAATAGGTACCGCTCCGGCAGGAAGGTAAACGGTGTTTCCGTGTGCTGCTCTGGTTTGCCAGAGTCATGCTGGCCACATGACCCGGAAGCTGTATGCTGGCTCCCTCGGCCAGTAAAGCGAGATGAGTGCCACAACCCCAGAGCCGGCCATGACTGGACCTAATGGTCAGGGGTCCCTTTACTTTTACTTTTTTAAGCTGCCCTGGGCGCCTTCTTGGCTGAAGAGTGGGGTACAAATGCACTAAATAGATAAATTTATCTACCTGCCCTGTGGAACTCCCTCCCACCAGATGTCAAAGAGAAAAATAACTACCAAACTTTTAGAAGACATCTGAAGGCAGCCCTGTTTAGGGAAGCTTTTAATGTTTAATAGGTTATTGTATTTTAGTGTTTTGTTGGAAGCCACCCAGAGTGGCTGGGGAAACCCAGCCAGATGGGCGGGGTATAAATAATAAAATTTATTATTATTATTATTATTATTATTATTAAATAATAATCCCTGTACCACATGCTACAATGCAAGCCTATGGAAGCCTGTACAGGAGAGCTTTCCAAACTTTTCATATTGGTGACATGCATAATTTCACGACACAGTAATTCAGTTTTACTAGCAAACTGGAGGTTCAACTAACCCCTTATAAGAGATACGGACACATATGGCACAACACACCGACACACTAAAGTGTCGCAACACACAGTTTGGAAAGCTCTGCTGTACAGGGAAATGGAGCTGTCATTCGGAGATGAACTAAATACCATTTGTATTATAAAACTGTAAACACAAACAACAGCACATGTGCTTTCTTACTCCTTTCATCCTGATTCTCAATATATAATTTACTCAAGAAGGAAGAAAGGATTGGAATACTATTTTGGAAAGGAAAAGCAGCTCCAAAATGCCACTAATCTACTACTTCCCAAAGCAATTTAGAAAATATCATCACAACAATATATTCTGTTCTTTCCCTTCTTTTCTACAAACTACTCTCTGGTCTTCAGCAGACCAAGATCACTAAAAATAATGGGTGACGTTGGGGAATTAGAATGCATTTAGGACAAGCAAATTCTAAATGGCTAAGGAAAATACAAGATATAGCAACTCAGATAAGGACAGAGACAGCTGCTCTAGTTTTCGTAAAGCAAAGACCGATTACAGTACAGATGTCAAAATCAGAAGGAAAATGCCATGAAACTGAATGGAACTTACTCGCAGGTTAAACGCATGCAAAGGTTTGTAGCCGTGCAGCGCACAATCCTATGCACGTCTCCTCAAAAGTAAGTCCCATTTAGTTCAGTGGGACTCAGTCCCAGGGAAGAAGAAGAAGAAGAAGAAGAAGAAGAAGAAGAAGAAGAAGAAGAAGAGTTTGGATTTGATATCCCGCTTAATCACTACCCGAAGGAGTCTCAAAGCGGCTAACATTCTCCTTTCCCTTCCTCCCCCACAACAAACACTCTGTGAGGTGAGTGGGGCTGAGAGACTTCAGAGAAGTGTGACTAGCCCAAGGTCACCCGGCAGCTGCATCTGGAGGAGTGGGGAATGAACCCGGTTCACCAGATTACGAGTCCACCGCTCTTACCCACTACACCACACTGGCGTGTATAGCAGGGCGGCAGAATCTTTTTTTAGCCTGAGGGCCACATTCCCTACTGAGCAACTTCCCGGGGGCCATATGCATGTGATGGGCATGGCAAAAGCGCACAGAACAACAAATGTACATTTTACCTTTGTGCTAGGAGATTCGTTTCTACACACACAGGTGCCGCAAATAACAATGGTAGCAACAGAACCCCCATTATCCTGGAATGGGAATTGTAAAACAAAACAGAACACCTGTTTTCATATTTTTCTTCTCATCAGCCATGAGCTCCATACCTTGTTCAGTGGAGTTCAAATGAGGGGCATCCTGGATTATGGGTTATTATAAACCTGAGTGTTTTTACCTCTGTGTCACAGATTGAAGATAACCCCTGTTTGGCTGTGGGTGAGTCAAGTTGTTTACAATGTATGTTTAGTATTTTCAGACCTCCCTAGCAGGGAATGAAGATACGCCCAAGCGTACAAGGAAAGGCTGGTGTTAAATATTAAGGAAAACCATGGATTTAGATGAGCAGTTTGGCAATTAACAGCCAGCTGAGGAAAATTAGGGAATCTCCTTCCTTAGAGGTTTTTAAGGGAAAGTTTAGTGTAGCTTTGATTGAGTGTTTTGGGTACTGTCTTTGGTTATCCATTATCCAACTCCCTTTAACTCTCAGCTGAGGCCAAATCAGATATTTTCCATTTCTTCTCTCTCTTAGAAATATGAATATGCATTACAAACAGTACTGCTTAATATGAAAAGATCGCAAGGCGATTTGCAACAACGTTCATTAAAAATACAGTAACAGCATTAAAATAAATCTGACAGCAATTAGCACAAAATTTAACTTTAAAAGGTTTTGACAAACTGCTGGGACTAGTTCTTCAAGCAATGTGTTCAGCACAGGTCAGGCGTTACACTTTTATTGCACACCTGTGCTCCTTGTGTGACATCTGCAACATTGCAAGTGCAAATAGACAGTGCCAGTGGTAACCTCACAGAAGGGATTTTGCTAACACACACCATACCCCCCCCTTTCTAATGCAATGCTTTTCAAGGGAATAAAATCCACAACTTCAAATTAGAATTAACTTACATATGCTAGGAACTGTTCAGGGATGGATCCAATTGCCTAGAGGGGTGAGCAGGCTCTGCCTTGCTGGAGAAGGCTGCATCTCAGTGGTAAGAGCATCTGCTTTGCAGGCAGAAAGTTAGATGATCCCTAACATCTTCAGAGGGACGTGGGTGGCGCTGTGGGTTAAACCACAGAGCCTAGGACTTGCCGATCAGAAGGTCGGCGGTTCGAATCCCCGTGACGGGGTGAGCTCCCGTTGCTCGATCCCTGCTCCTGCCAACCTAGCAGTTCGAAAGCACATCAAAGTGCAAATAGATAAATAGGTACCGCTCCGGCGGGAAGGTAAATGGCGTTTCCATGCGCTGCTCTGGTTTACCAGAAGCGGCTTAGTCATGCTGGCCACATGACCCGGAAGCTGTATGCCGGCTCCCTCGGCCAGTAAAGTGAGATGAGTGTCGCAACCCCAAAGTCGGCCACGACTGGACCTAATGGTCAGGGCTCCCTTTACCTTTAACATCTTCAGAAGGGGTTGGGAGAGCTTTCCTGCCAGATGTCCAGGACAGCTGCTGCCAGTCAGTGTAGACAGTACTGAGCTAGACAGTGCAAAGATCTAACTCAATATAAGGCAACTGCCAATGTTAATTAAGTCATCCAGCAGAGGTTGGTCCCCTATGAGCTAGGTATTCACCATTATTATTATTATTCAATTAATTTATTAATCACCTTCTAAACCACCATCTCCAAGTGATTTACACACAAATAATTTAAAATCATTTAAAACCCAACAACAACAAATACATATAAAACAAGAATAAAACTGTTACAAATGAACACTAATGGTAAAGACCCATTTGTCCATTTACCCACTGGAATAAGTAAGTCTTCAGCTTTTTCTGGAAAGTGCAGATAGTGAGTGCCTTTTGTATCTCAACAGGAAAAAGCTATTCCACAGGGCAGGGGAAGCCACGCTAAAAGCCCTCCTGCTCTGCATTACTATGGAGGGAACTTCTGTAAATTTTGGACCTTGCATGAAAGACTGTCCCCGAAGTTTGCAGTGATCTGCCAGGTATATAAGAAATAAGGCAATCTCTCAAGCAGCCTTAACAGTGACATCCTTAACTTGGTTCGATAGCAAATCGGCAACCAGCTTGCAAATCCTGAAAGCAAGCTGTTATATGCTGGCAATAGCTTGCCTCCAACAAGCAACCTTGCCACTGCATTCTGCACCAACTGCAGCCTCCAGATCAGTCCCAAGGGTAGCTCCATGTAGAGTGCATTGCAGTATTCCAACCGCGAGGTTACCAATGCAGAGACAACTCTGGTCAAGATATCCCAATCCAGGAATGGCCATAGCGTCTCACCAACAAAAACTCCCTAGCCATCGAGGACAGCTGCACCTCCAGTGAAAGCTGGATCTCAGAGCACCCCCAAACTGCTGCTCCTTCAAGGGGACTGAAGGGACTGCTGCTCCTTCAAGGGGACACATGACAAGCTATAGCTGCTGAAATCCCTCTTCTAAACCGGTATTAATAGTGCAGGAAACATACCATCTTTTACACCACCATTAAGGTGGTCTACAGCCATACTACCCTGAACACACCTGATCTCGTCTTATCTCGGAAGCTAAGCAGGGTCAAGCCTGATGCTGGGAAAGATGGAGGGCACAAGGAGAAGGGGACGACAGAGGACGAGATGGTTGGACAGTGTTCTCGAAGCTACAAACATGAGTCTGACCAAACTGCGGGAGGCAGTGGAAGACAGGAGTGCCTGGCATGCTCTGGTCCATGGGGTCACGAAGAGTCGGACACGACTAAACGACTAAACAACAACAACAAGATGCTACTGGACAATTTTTTAATTATTATTTATTTTGACTGCATCAGACCAACACGGCTACCTACCTGAATCTAATAATATAAGGACTGTCTGGCTGGACCATACAATCTAGTCCAGCCTTTCTTTGCAGCAGGAACTAGCCAGATGTCCCAAGGGCAGAGATGGGGAACCTGTAGCCGCCTGATGTTGCTGAACCACAGCTCCCATCATCCGTGACCACTGGCTATGCTGTCTGGGGCTGATGGGATTTGAAGTCCAATGGCATCTAGCAGGCTTACAGGAAATTGTTTTTTTGTAACAGCTCCCCTATTAGCGTCCTTTGATTTCACAGTTCCATTTTCACCTCCACTCCCCGCCCAAGCATGAGACTCTATTAATCTCAGGGTCATGATCAAAAGATTCCTGCATTGCAGAGGGTTGGACTAGATGACCCGCATGGTCCCTTCCAGCTCTACCGTTCTATGATTCTAAGGATTGGGCGCCCCTTTCAACCAGCCACAAGTGTGGATCCAGCACCACCATACGAAAGGAAAGGCCCTAGCTCAAGGGTACAGCACCTGCCTTGCATGCAGAACTCCCCACGTTCAATTTGCAGCATATCTCCAGGTAGGGCTGGAAGAGACCCCTGCCTGAAACCATGGAGAGCAGCTGTCAGTCAGTGTAGACAACACTGGTCTAGAGGAACCATTGGTCTGACTTAGTATAAGGCTGATTGCTGTGTTCCAGGTAAGGTAAAGGTAAAGAGACCCTTGACCATTAGGTCCAGTCGTGGCCGACTCTGGGGTTGCGGCGCTCATCTCGCTTAACTGGCCGAGGGAGCCGGTGTACAGCTTCCGGGTCACGTGGCCAACATGACTAAGCCACTTCTGGCGAACCAGAGCAGCGCACGGAAACGCCGTTTACCTTCCCACCGGAGCGGTACCTATTTATCTACTTGCACTTTGTGCTTTCAAACTGCTAGGTTGGCAGGAGCTGGGACCGAGCAAGAGGAGCTCACCCCGTTGCGGGGATTCGAACCGCCGACCTTCTGATCGGCAAGTCCTAGGCTCTGTGGTTTAACCCACAGCGCCACCCACGTCCCTGTTCCAGGTAAGACTGGGTGCCAACTGGAATGACCTGCCTTGGAGCGAATTGACTAGAGCTGGCCAGGCCAAGGCAATATTTGAGGAACCTTCCTGCAAGAGCACAGCTACCATGCTTCTGCTTATTTATTTAAGAGTGTGCTTTGAAAGACGCGGCGGGGGAAATCTCTGTGTAGGCTTTCCCTCTTCACTTCTTAACCAACCAACATCTTCCCCCACCGCTACACAGAGACACATGTGGGTACATATACAAAACCAGGATTTGATTTACAACTTCGCCAATGAATAACCCTCCTCCCCCCTCTCTCTCTCTTTTTAATCGCAAGCTCTTGTGTATCTTTCTGTTGATGATTTATAGAAATAAATTAATAACAGCCAGTCCCCACGTGCTGGAAGTTTATGTTCTCCAGTATCTTCCACGCCATCAGATTTGGGTCAGATTTATTTAAACGTAAGAACTGCTTCATTGTACGGATCAGGGGAAAGTGTCCATCATTCTTGTTTCCTGACAAGCTGGGCTTGAAAGACATGAGTTTCAGAACCCTTGGCAAGAGATGAACTTCCCCTGCTATCAGTACCAAGCAGCTGTGACCCAGAGGTAGACTGCTCCAGACTTGGGAGGTTCCATTTTGCCATACATCCTAACATCTGATAATACACCAAAACAGACCCATACACACCAAAACCATCATTTTGGTTGACTGAATATTTGCAACAATATCTGCCAAAATAAAATAATATGAAAACTTGGGAATTTGGATGAAAGGCCTTGATAAAAATGGGTTTGGTCCTCTCTGCATGTTTTCTATGCTGTGCAAAGGCACTCCATACTGGTCCCTGCCTCGTGGAACAGAGTTAAAATGCAATCTCTGAATAAATGATTCTGCTTGCTGCTGGGGGTCTTTCCCGTGGAATCCTCCTAGGCTGCAATCCCCACTGAATTTACTTCTGAGTAACTTCGCCCTGGGAATCCTATGCCCCCACTTCCCTGGGAGCCCAACTCATTGAACTCAACGGGCTTCGCTTCTAAGTAAATACGGATTCATTGGATCAGTTACGAACCGGTCCGAGCGTGGATCGAGAGAGGCCTGGCCCTCTTGCGAATGGAGATCATTCAGATCAATGGGAAACTGACCAGATTAGGATCCACAAAACGCCTTGCCAAATCCCTTTAGCCTACAAGAGGTGCCAAGGGTCTCTCTCTCCCAGAAGGGCGCGGCCTGACCTTGTGCGTGTTTACTCGTGAGTCAGCCCCGCTGAATTCAAACCGGGCTTCGCTTCCTCTTCCTTTCTAACCGAGGAGCCGTGGATAAGATTGCAGCCTCTACGACGTTTAGGCCGCAATCCTAGATTGGGGAGGCTTCTTTCTGAGGACAGACGTGTTGAAAGAGCATCGTACTGCGCATTTCCAAATGCTCCGGCAGCACGTATACAATTGCTCCGGTTTTATGATATGGCGTGTAAACGGACTGGCGGTGGGGAAGGGGCTTCTGGTCCCTGCTCTCTCGGAGCTGTTAAAATGAGGCAGAGTGGTTTCAAGCCTTTTTTTAATTCCAGTTTGTCCAAGACAATTGGATTGACATACTGGCCTGAAAATCTCAGGGGGTTAGGAGTTTTTTTGGGGGGGGGAGGAGGTTGTCCGTTCCCCAAACCCACCCCTCGTGACATTTATTACCCGTACGTAAATTCCACTGAAAATCAAGGGAAGTTTGCTACGTCCAAATGGGACCGGAGTGTTTCTTTGGGGCGATATGCCTACCAGTTTAAACCAAGCAGTTGGGTATTTACCGGAAAGTAAGCCTCCTTGAACTCACTGGGGTTGACTTGTGGGCAAAGGCGCGCGCAGGATCTGCCTGTTATATATAGGCTGTTAAAAAACGCTTACTCAGAAGTAAGCGCCTTTGGAAATAAACGAAGGAAACTTGGTTAAGATCCGGTCACAAAAGAAGAAACGTGGTCTCCGGGATGAACTTCCCCAGCCAGCCCATGGGATCCAAAAGTGTGGCCTTGTTCTGGTAGGTTTACTCTGAAGTAAGCCACAGTTTTTCTTGGATGGGAGTAGGGAGTTGCTTCCAAAGTAAACGGGCAATAGTAGATTGCAGCCCACACAGCCCCCGTTCCTGACCACCTTTGTTCGGAAAAGTCCCGTTCACTAAATCCTATGCTGCCCAGTTAAAATTGGAGTAAGCGCGACTGAACTCCCTGGAACTTGCTTCCGAGTAAATTATACGTTGGATCGGGTGCGAAAAAGTACCTTAACAATTCAGGCTGCGATCCTCAAAACATTAAGCATATCCCACTGAGCACACTTCAACGAAATTGAATTAGACGAAACAAATCGTTCAATAAACTACTGAATTTCCTGGATTCTTTAAAGAAAACAAAACACCTCATATTTTTCCAATTAAATAGCTTTTTTTTAAAAGCAGGATGGGAATAATAGGAAATATATTTATGCTTGGCTCTCTTAACCTAACCTAACCCTAGTCAATTACATTCCATCAGAATAAATCAAGAAAAAAGTATTATTTTAATTTTTTTAAAGTTACCTTTAGACTGAAAGCCATTTTTGAGCTGTTGGCTTCTAGGCCGCTGAGGAGAGTCGAGCTAAACCGGGAAGAAATCCCCAGCTTCTCTTTAAATTGAGGCGTGGGGTTAATAAATAGCAGAGTTTATTTAGTTGATATTTTGCTAAAGGAAAAAAAAATCGTAAACTACGCGGGATAATTAGTAACCAACTTGTCAAAGCCGTTCAGCTGACTTTCAGTTGGGAGATACACACATATTTATAAGATCTTTAGCTAACAAATCGAAGGGAAGAGAAGAGGAACTTGGACCGGAGAAGGGGATGGAAGCAAACGAGGTGCTTATTTGACAAAAGAAAAGTTTTTGCAGAGAGAGGAGGGAGGGAAATCTTACTAGGAAGTGGAAGGGTTTACTCGGAGTTAATTATTATTAGATTCCCTTTTAATCAAACTCACACTTCTCTCTCTGGGGCCTACCCACAAATATATTTCTCCTCCTCCTCCTACTACTAGTTGTTGTTGTTGTTGTTGTCGTCGTTATATACCCCTTAACAACAAACTCCCACGTCTCTTTATGGACTTTATATCGCTATTATTATTGATTATGATGGATGGCTTCTTGACTAGATGATGGCAGATTATTATTATTTATTATGGATTATCATGCTTATGATTTGTCTTTTTTAGAAAAAGCAACTGAGGAGTATATATCTACACACACACACAAATATTATATATTCAACAATATGGGTCAGACAACGTTGTATAAGAGCGACGTCGGAAAAGTTGACCGCTTGTCGATATTCATGTACATATATAGGTGCTGAAAATTCCCCACAGTGTGTGTGTTTCATGAAAATATTGTATATTCATCAATATAAATTAGAGAATGTCTGCGAATCCCACAAAACTTTGTCACTTCTCGACATTGCGTCGATGTTGCCAATTCCAGGCAGTCTTTGGGAATACAGTAAATGAAAACTCGATTATATGCACGGGTATAATACGCTGAGGTTAACCAAAGCTAATCGCCAGCGATTTGTGTCTGAATCACAAGGAGTTACCTGCCTAGTTTCCGACCGTCCCGCAATTCACCTGAGACTGCCAAAATCCACCAAATTTTTGACCTTCATGAATGACACGTGCGTCATCCATAGAACGCGTGCAATGCCTAATTAAGGCACGACATAATACATACGTATCTTGCAGATGTGATATCTACTCTATGTATACGGCATTATACAAATTATGTACACACAGGTGCACGCTCACACGAAGAAAAGCCCATTTAGATGTGAAATAAAGGAAGAATTCCCACGTTATTCACCCCCTGTACACCCCCCCTTGAAATTATCCCCCTCCCTCCCTCAGGCGGTTTAAGTCTCGTCCTTCTTCCCTTTTGGCCTTCACCTTGGGCAAAGAAGCGTCTGAGGGGAGGGGCAGAGGGCAGCTGGAAACTCAACTTCTAGGTAAGTCGATTTCAAAAATCACAACCACAAGAACAGCTGTAGCAGCGGAGCAGTGACTGGGCTCTTTTGCGTCTTAAAAACCCTGCAGCGGAATCCTAGGCGAATTTCGCTCATTTCCTTGCATTCTATGGGACTTACTCTCCCCTAAGCGCGGCTAATATTTCGGCTTTTCTATTTTAAAAAAGATCCAGTCCAAATATTACTTTTCCTCCCGCTTAACCTGTTGAAATGGCGGGTGGAATCATGGTAAGTGGTTTAGAGGGGGTTTTATTTTATTTACGATTTTGAGCAATCTACAAATTCTGTAAAATAATAATAATAATAAAACCATAGTATATACCCCGCTTACTGTGACAATTTGTTTACTAGCTTGCTGGGCGTGAGAGGGAAGGGTTTCACGTGAGGGGGTTCTGGGAAGGCGGGAGTTTTTCATTTCTCTTGGGACTTGCACCCCTAAAACAGGCTCCCTAGGAAAGGAAGACCCCACTCAAGACAGTGGACTAACTCCCGGGTAAAACACGCACAAGATCCAGCCGCCCGCGTCCGAGGAAAGCAGGCTTTTCGGCTTATGTTTTAGGGAGCATGGCAATCAGTTTTCATGCATTTAAAAGGGGGTGGCCGAATAAGGGGAACGCCTCAGTCCTGAATCCAGACAAGCCTTCTCAAATTGCGCGCGGGTGAAGCATATACATGCTGACCACGGGGATCACAACAACGTGGTTGGGCAAAATTTTGAGGTGGATGGGTTCCCCAATCGATCCATGTTTCAATAGGAGACATGAAATAAATGGGGATGCGCTGTGGGGGCGAAGATGGAGAGTTTAAATAGAAACTTCTTAAACGACCCCACCCCCCATTTTTCTTTAAGCGTTCCGTGCTATTTTTAAAAAAGAGTTTTTGCTCCAAAGGCTCCCGCCGGTTTCGAACGCTCCCTCCGACCGAACGTTCCGTTTATCCGAACGTTCCACCCTCCCCTTTTGATCTGGACGTTCCATCGGAACGTTCCATCCTCTCCCTTTCACTCCGCGCGCGGTGCTGCGCCCCCGGCTTGCCTGGAGCCCGGGTATCCGTCCGTCCGCCCGTCCCCGCTGCCTAATTTTTACCTGATCATCCTCTCCACTTCGGCCCTTTGCTCGGCCGCCTCCTCGGTGTTGAGCGCCTGCAGCTCGCGGAGGATCTGCGGGGTGTCGAAGTCATCCCCGTCGTCGGAGCCTTCGTCCCCGGACAGCTTGTCCTTGCCGTGCCCGTTGGTCAGCGTGTGGAAAACCGGCTTGCTGTCCACGTCGGGGCCGCCGCCGCCTCCGCCGCTGCTGGGCGAGAGCTGCAAGTTTTCCAGTTTGACCCCGTAGGCGCCGTTGCTGGCGGTGTTGCTATTCCCGCTGGCGGTGCCGGAGGTGGGCATCAGCTCCTCCAGAGCTTGGATCAGGACCTCTTTGGTCACCCCCGAGGTGAGGAGCGCTTCGAGAAGTTCTTGCTGCAGAGCGCTCAATTTGGACACCATTTTAAACCAGGGGGAAGGAGAGAGAGAAAAGGGAGGGAAAGGGGGGGAGGGTTAGGGAAGGGGTGAGGAAAGAGACCCTCCAAAAAACTCCCGACCCTCAGAAATCCAGCTTTGCTTCCCTTTCGGATGGTAACCCCCCGAATCTCCAGTCTTGACACCTGTTTCTGCCGAGAGGATCACTGGAGAATCACCCTCGAAGGATGCCTCGGCCGGCCTCTACTCCAATTTGATGATCTCCATTAGGCAATATAAGATATGCAAATGAAGTGGGCAGGCGGGGGCATTCTTGCAGCATGCAAATGATGGGCAAGGGGGGTGGTACTGGGCAGGAGGGGAGGGGGAGAGGGAGAGAGGGAGCCGCATTAGGATTCTCTCCCCTGCCCGGCGTCTAGAATTGGCTGCGAGCAGAACCAGGGTGTCTAAGAGATCGCCAAATCTTTTTTCCTCTCTTCTTCACTGTACTTTGAACCTGTTTAGGGAGAGAGTGAGAGGGAGGGTGAGGTGAGCTATCAAGGGCGACCGAGAGTCTCTCCTTCTTGTGGGGAGGGGGGAGCTAATCTGGAAACCGCTGGGGAGATTAGATCAATTCGCCTCGTCCTGTAAACTCCAAAAATTGAGCTAAGAGTGCAGGATCGAAACCTTTCTACCCGCCCCGTTCGCTTAAAAAGAAAATGAATTGGGGAAAGATGGGTCCGGATCCCTTGACCGGCTCTGCCGGGATCACAGTTTCACCGTTGTCTTAAAACAGTGGCTTGGTCAATTTCACGTTCCATTTTTATAGCTATAACTCCCCAGAATTCTTTCTATCTCCTTCGATTTCTTTTTGGATTCAAGTCTGGTAAGGAAAACCTTGACAGGACAAATATTACCTGTCACTTCGCAAGGTAGAAGAACCTACCAAATTATTATTATTATTTATTTCTCCTTCTTATGCCCCCGACTACTCACTACCAGTTCCAATTTTCTGAGGTTCATTAGAGAGAAATTTGTCAAGACTTAAAACAACAGCAGAATCCGTTTGAGATGTGTGTATTTTTATATTCGAGATCTGGGTCCAAATCTGAACTAGAGAAAACAATATTTTGCATGATTGAACTGGTCAAAATATATATACTTTAAATAAAATATAATGCTTCATTTAAAAATAATTCCACGTTGGAAGATTTGTTGGTTTTTATTTGCAGCCCAGATCCACTTACTTGAGAAGAAGGTTGAGTTGAAATTAGGAATGATTATTTTCACTTAAAAAAATAAGCTGTACTTTGCAAGAATGCATTAGGTAAACTTTCCTTGCATGTGTACATGTGTCAACAAACATTTCTTAATTAAACAACGAAAAAGACCATGCTTATGATTTGTAATGAGCAACTTTCATTTTAACTCAATAAATTTCAGTTAAAACAAAACGATTAAACACTTTGCAGGCAGGGTCCGGCTAAAGTTAAGCGCTTCCAGCCCTCTGAAATGATTCGTGTTTACTTAGAAGTAATTCCCACAGAGTTCACTGGGACTTACTTCTAAGTAAACACAAGCAGAGAACGGGGTTGTATGTTGATTGTGGCGTAAGCTCCGCTGTTTGTGTCCAAGGACTCACTTCCTGGTAGAAGTGTGGTCAGTCTCAGACATGTGCTTCTCTCTTTCCTTCAGTAAGCCAATACATGTTTACTCAGAAGTAAGTGCCACTGTGTTCAATGGAACCTACTCTTAGCTTAAGCGTGCATAGAACTGCAGCCTTAAAAGTTCACACACACACACACAATGTCAGTGGGCGATGTATTTGCTGCCTTTGAACATGTCAAAGAAAAGCGATATCGTCCTTTTGTCCGTATGGCTTTTAAAAAGTGCGTTTCGGTTTTTTAATCACTTCAGCCGGTGATCTGGAGAAAACGACTAAACTTGTGGCGATGTGCACAAGAGGCTCAACCTTGCACGTGGCCGTGGATTGCACGGATAGGCAGAATGAAGCAGTACACGGAACCCCCACCAGACCAGCAAGCAACTCCCCCCCCCCCACTCCCAATCTACATTTAGGAACTGTCTTCAGCAGTAGTAGATTGGATATCAAAACGGAAGGCTCCAACTTGTGCCTGCTTACCTGATCATAAGCCCCACTGAAGTCAGTGGAAATTACTTCCAAGTAGCCCGGTATAGGATTGCACTGTCGATTGCTTATTTATTTGTTTGTATCGGACAGGTCCCAGTGAAACATTTTTCTTTATTTACTGACAGTCAAAATGCCTTTAATTTTGGAAATATATATATGCATGCCACCAAATTACTTGAGAAGCTGAATGAAATTTAACAGCCACCCACAACAAAGGTGTCTGCTCCTATCCAGGTCTGTTTACCTGCCTCCACTAAAAAAAACCTTAACTGAGGGCATGGCCGGTTCCAAGGCCATTTAGGCTGAGCAAAGAATCCTAGGCGGTTTTGTTTAAACACTTTCCAGTTTTTCCTCCAGAGGTGTATTTGAAAGGGGTTGGGTAGAGAGAAAAGAAGACTGTTTAATATAGCTCCAACAAGGAAGTGCCCCAGCTGTGTTCGCAGCAGGAAAAAATAATAATTTAACTTCCAGAGTGGGCAGTGGTTATTTTAAGCTGTGATGGAATGAGGGGTGTGTGTGTGTGTGTGTGTGTGTGTGTGTGTGTGTGGTTGTTTCTGGAAAACAATACCTGAATTCAAAGGAGGCTCCTTTGCCATATAGCTGGAGGAGTCTTGGTTTGTTTTTGTTTTAAAAAGCATTTTGGCAGAGCCTTGAGTGAAAAAACGCAAAAACCAAAGGGAGGAAGAAGAAAAAAACCCAGACTTTTATGCCAGTGGATTCTGCAGGTTATCTCACCCCTAAACCTGTACACACAGGTGTCACTTCTGCATTAAGAAAGCCTCTGCATGGAGCAGGCATATGAGGGGCGGAGAACCATCTTCAGTCCGAGGGCCGCCTTCCCTTTTACTCAACCTTGGGGGGGGGGGCACATGCCAGGAGTGGGTGGGGTTAAAATCAAAAGTGGGCAGAACTAAGAATGTAAATTTTACATTTCTACACTAGACTGGTTTCTACACACCCCTCTCTATCCTCCATCCAAGAACAAGACGCGTTATTTAACCATACATAAGTTATAGATAGGGACGCGGGTGGTGCTGTGGGTTAAACCACAGAGCCTAGGGCTTGCTGGTCCGAAGGTCGGCGGTTCAAATCCCCGTGACGGGATGAGCTCCCGTTGCTCAGTCCCTGCTCCTGCCAACCTAGCAGTTCGAAAGCACGTCAAAGTACAAGTAGATAAATAGGTACCACTCTGGCGGGAAGGTAAACGGCGTTTCCGTAAACTGCTCTGGTTTGCCAGAAGCGGCTTAGTCATGCTGGCCACATGACCCGGAAGCTGTACGCCAGCTCCCTCAGCCAATAAAGGAAGATGAGTGCCGCAACCCCAGTTGGCCACGACTGGACCTAATGGTCAGGGTCCCTTTACCTTTAAGATATAGATGATCCACTCTTTTTCTTTTAGAACTTTTTCTTTTAATTGCACTAGAAAATTATTTGCTAATAACAAAATCTAGCACATGAATGAGGTCAGGCTGACAGCGGTGGTTGCTGAGTGCCAACCGAAGCAGAGTAGACAGGGTGGGTTGGGGTCCTCTGTGGCTCTCCAGATGTTGTTGGACTACAACTCCCATCAGCCCCAGCAGCAAGCATGACCAATGGTCAGAGATGATGTGAGCTGGAATCCAGAAACACCTGCTGGGCCATAGGTTCTCCACTCTTGCACTAGATATGACCAAATCTTTCTTTTATAGGCATGAAATAGTGAAATGCATTTTTTTAAAAAATGGTTGGGCTCACTCCAAGTTATATAGAATCGAATGCAGCCTGTAAGGTTGCCATACGTCCGAGGGTGGCAAAATGTCTGGGTTTTTGCCAACAGAACCAGTATGTGTGTGTTTGAGTATCACTCTTTGCCTTTTTGGGGTGAATTCCCAAAAAAGCTCAACAAATATGGCAAATGTTGTTGGCATTCGTCTTTCTCGAGACAGTGGAGCATGCCTCCAGGAGTGAAGTCTGTCAAGTTATACAGAGTCTATATAGCGTTTCCTAGAACAAAGAGTTCTGCAGAACCCCAAATCTTGCAGACTAGTCACAAAATTTCAATTAACAGGAGCTCAGCTTCATCCCCATTCCCTATTGTCCGTTATCTGTGGCTTTCTCTTTCTTCTCCCTCCTATCTTCTTCTTGTCTGCAGCCCCACTGTCAGCATTTAGACTGTGAGATCTTAGGGTCAGGGAACAATCTAGTTTTATTTTTGCTACTCTAAAGTGTTATGGATATTGATGTATTTCAACAGGTATTTTACAGCTTTCTATTTCCATGAATTGTTTTGACCTTACTCTTTGTGTGGTCCACATCCCCAGCATTTTATATATACTGTTTAGAAATGGCTTCCAGATGCAGGAACAGTATACCTCTGAATATTTACTTATTGCATTTATATACCACTTTTATCTTCCAAGGATTTCAGGGTGGTGTGCATGGTTCTTCTCCTTCCCATTTCAGCCTCACAACAACCCTGTGAGGGAGGTTAGGCTAAGAGATGGGGAATACCAGATGTGGAACAAGGGAAGACCCAACAGGAAATTAGATGGAGGAGAGAGTGGGTGTGAGTGAGGTTGTACAAATGAGCCCACCATACAAATGCAAAATTTACATTTGTTGCCCATTTTTGCCTCTGGCCCTACCTAGCACTGGCATGTGGCCCCCAGAAGGTTTCCCAGAAGAGAATGTGGCCCTTGGGTGGAGAATGTTTACCATCCCTGCAGTAGCCGCAGTGAGGTGCCTGCCTCAGGTGGGGAACACTGTACAGGGGAGGGTAATAATAATAATAATAATAATAATAATAATAATAATAATAATTTATTTATACTCCACCCATCCGGCTGGGTGGCTTCCAACAAAATATTAAAATACAATAATTCATCAAATATTAAAAGCTTCTCTAAACAGGGCTATTGTGGAGGTAATTTGCAGTTCTTAGGATTATTTGTGCTTTAAATGTATGGGGCGTACGCAGTCCAAGATTTGCTTGCCAGTCCAGTTAGCTTCTCCATATGCAATGTGCAGCAACGTCTTGTTCTTCAACCTCAAAGCATCTTGAGCCGTCCCTATCTGACCAGTCTGGGCATTTGGCCTGGCTACAGACAGCTTTGGCTCAGTGTCCTGAAATGTCAGGTTTAAAACGTCATTCGCCCCTCTCTGGCTAAGCGGACTGGAAAGGGAG